GGCCAGAACCGGCGCCTGAAAAGTTCTGTCCTGGTGGCGGTTGGAACTGCATATCGGGTTGAATGCCAGCTGCGCCTCCCATCTTGTCGGCAGCCACCCAGCCGGAGTTTGCAAGCTCCGTCTCAATCTTCTTCCTTCGCATTTCCTCAGCAATGTCTGATATGCGGACCCAAAGCATGCCGATGGGCAGAAGATGGTCGCCCGTCTTGTCGTATACAGTGATCTCGATTTCGTTGGCCTTGTCAATGGCAAAGTCGTGGACTTCGTCTGTCCAGCGGTCGTTCCTTGTGGGCTTTGTACGACCCTTGATTGCGTCTTCGACCTTGATGTTGACAAAAGTTTCTGGGCCTCGACTAAAGCGCCCAGTGGCTGCGTGGTCGACATCGGCGACGGCGTGTACGCGTAGGGAAAGGTGACCGCTCAAAGGTTTTCTTTGACTTGGGATGTTCAAGCTATCGTCTGCGTAGGATGAGTATATATCGGCAGTTAGTCTAGTTGGAGCTTACCATCGCCGCCAGCATCGCCCTCAATGTCGACATGGAGATCCTCGTAACGCTTCAATGAGTGCTTCAACAGCTGAATCTTCTGGTTACTCTCGATACGCTTGGCCTCGGCATCTTGCTTGCTCTTGCGGTCGCCTTCCATCTGGTATAACCGCACCATTTTCTCGATTCCGTCCTTGTACTGCTTTTCAACACTGAGCTTGAATTCGAGCTGGGACAGCATGAGCTGAATGCGGGGGCCGAGATGCGGGGTGTCATATTTGATGAGGTCTGCGCGTGTTAGCAAAGCATAGCATTGTCGCAAGAAGTATAGATGTACCCAGTTTGCTGTAGTTGGGCCGCTTGTTGGGCGCGCCGGGTGCTGGCGGAGCATATGGCGCGCGAGGAGGCTGTAGAGCTTCTCCGCCACTAAGCTGGCTATACTGGCTTTGAGGGCCTCCATAGCCGCCCTGGTCTTGCTGCATGTACCCGTTCCAGCCGTCTTTCGGGGGAGGCGTCAGCGGGTTGTTGGGGCCACGGCTACCTGGCTGCAGACTCATATTCTCCATGCCGGTGGACGTCCTCTGCACGTCCAAGTCCCGCAGCTTGGACTCGAAGTAGTCGATGTTCCGGCGGCCATCTTTGATCTGTCCATCGAGACGGGAAAGTACGGCCGGGTTGTTGGTGGACTGGCGCATGGCATTGGCGGCATTGATGAGGGCCCTCTCGCGGTCGATTTTGCGTTGCACATTGGCAACGGTTTCGTCGACGTTCGCCATGGTGAGGATCGTATGTGCTGGATTGGGGCGAAGAGGGCGTCAGGAGATTTCTTCACCGACAGAGGCGACGGCGTGACAAACGTGCCCAGCGAGGGCAGGCTACCAGGGATCGACAGCGCTCGGGTAGACACCCGTCACGTAAGCTACTTGCGCGCGCGAGAAACAGCCGTTCCAACGCGTCCTGGTCGGCGGCGGCGGGAGGGTCGCGTATGTGATGGAGGCAGGCGACAATGGCGGAGTCGTCGTCGTGCTGTGGTGATGTCGTTGGGCGAGCAGCGATTTAGCTCACGCATAGGGTGGCTTAGCGGAGCCCCACTTCACTTTCCCCCTCTTCGTCGAGTGGCGTCGGGAAAGGGTAAAGTGCCGCTGTCTATCAAAAGCCGTGGGTGCTGTTTGGCTTCGTCGGGCGCGAGACTGAGACAAGAGACGTGATGACGGCGCGACTGTCTGGGCGTTGGTCGTCTGTTGGTGGGGAAAAGACTAACAGCAGGTGGCATGGCGGGGTGAACACAACACTCGTCTCACAAGGGTTCCATGGATCAGGCTTATTGCCCTCGAATCACTCATTCTGCCCTCCCATTCCTGCATCTCCACGACCACATTCCGAATTCTTATCTTTGTTGACGGCAGGCGCGCATGACGCTCGCCCGATTGGGCACCGACGCCTTGACATGTGCAACCTGATCTGAGTGTGCGACGCCTGTTTGCACCCCGAACTTCCTCCATCACGCTTTGCACCACCCCTCTGAAACCTCAATCACACATCGCCCATGTCTTACGCGTCCAACATCGAGCCCATTTGACTTCGACAAAGCCCCTTGCTATTTGCACTCATCTCAAACCCATCTATTCAACATTACCCCATGGGTTCGCTCACGCCCACTACGCGTCTTCCTTGCTTCTTCCGATCCTAGCTTGACATGTGGACCTAGCCTCTGATATACTGCTTTTCCCGCACTTAGGGGCTCGTGGAATACATGAGAATTCACAGTCTGCATCGACTAAAACAACATTGCCAAGAGGAACCACCAGGTCGTACAGATGTGTGCCAGGTACAATGCAGCGACGCGCGTTATTGTTTGGCTGGGCAACATCAGCTATTTGCACCGTCCTCCAGCGTATGAAACTGCTACGACTGATCAGAGAGTCAAGTGTCCTGGTGAATAAGTGCTGAGGAAGAATGGAAGAGTGTCGAGGCTGGCCGGGTCGAACGTGCGAATTATGCGTGTTAGACGACGGCCTAAATCGCTCAAGAGATTACACATAGTATAATACTTAATCTTCTAGCTGGCATAGTGGAGGTCCATGATCTCCCAAGTATCTCCCAAGTCCCATGGTTCGCAGCGGCGAAAGCTGATGAACAAAGTGAGGCACCATCGCACCAAACTCGGAAATTCTCTCTTCTCCTTCTTCCAAAGATTACCGCATCAGAAGTTTCAAAGGGTTGACGTGTATGCGGCTTTGTGTATATGTCCAAGAAGCTACGTGGCATGGAAACTTTGCCAGCGGGAGCGTCGGCGGAGGTACACTTTTTCACACTCACACCTTGAGCATATTCGAGGTACATCATTCCGCAGAGGGATCTGCGATTGGATGATGGTACGCAGCAGACCAACTGCTAATTGTCGGATCAAGAAGGCGAAAAACTCAACTTTCGAATGCAGAGAATCTGTAGCAACGAACCCAATCGTTGGGTCCTGTAGGGTTTACACTTCGGAGAGGAAAAGAAAAGAGAGCAAATCGGCCACTGTAATCGCTTAGTAACGTCAGAAAACCATCATCGGTGCTCAAGAAGACCACGTAAGAAGCAATATTGTGCTTGTCGAGAGCGATCTACGTGGTGCAGTAATCGACTCGCACTCACAGGGGTTCTTATACTATAACTGTGAGGGTGGGAGTGGACCTCCGGATATTAGAGCCACACGTCAGGAAGAGTTGAGCTGGTGTAGGCAACCGAATTCTAACAGGCTAGTTCCGAACTGATTTCGCATGTCGTTGCTAATCAGACATAGTCGACAGTCGAAGCATTATACTCTGGATAATCCTATGCTGATCTTTTGGTCCTGCGCTCATCAGTCGAAGGCAATCCTGGATCTAGAAGCATAGCTTAGACCAGAGGTACCAATAGTGTTCGTTCTCGTCGACTCGAGCGCGAACATGGGGGATGGAGCGTACTACAGAAGTAGCCTGTCGATTTGTCGGTCGCCAAACTCGGAGGTCAACTATACGGTGCGGATGGGATGGTAGCAGGTGAACCTGTGGGTACGTAGATTGACAAATTCCCGGGATATGTACCGTCGGCCCTGTAAGCATACCTAAGCACTACAATGTCATGGGTCCACTGAGGTAGCCTTCCCATCTATTGGATGCAATTAACTTACGGACTCCATGGAAAGCACCGTAAACTGCTGTTGGACAGATCGTCAGTAGTTACAGGCTTCCGAGTGACAGTCAGATAGATGCCAAAGGCCCCTAAGGGCCCCCATTGTATATAGTGTGAGCTGCGGTGACACTTCCAAGGTTCTGACACCTATATGTGCAGGCTGTCAAACCGTAAACAAATCCCAGATAAGATTTATCATGTGTAGAGACGGATCGAGACAAGGGAACTATTCGGGAGCTGTTTCGTAGGATTAGAGCAAGCTTGTGCTTAGGTAGCGCTATATGTTTACGTCATAGGAAGTCGCGTCTGTTGGGTACCCTAGGTACGTAAGGTGACGGCACGCTGACTCTTCGCCCCCACCACTGGCATTACTATACCTTACATGTGCCGCTGTCCAGTATGATGTTGGTTGGCACTTGCACTCTTGCATCCCTCGCACGAGACGGCATGCCCTGAGAAGCCCGGTCACGCGCTCCACTAGGAATGAGTGCACCGAGCTATTCAGGGGGTTCAGAGTAATCATCGCATTCGCATCCCTTCCCCATGCTTTCTGCCATCCTCCATGAGCCCCTTCCACCCGTGCCTCTTCGCGAGCCGTTTCCGATGCATATGCGATGCGGTTGGAGTCGTTAATCCAAGGTACAGGGTATGGTATTCGGGCCTTTTGCGGAGCATTTCTCAAGCGAGCTTCGACTAACGCAGGTTCACCAGCGACCTGCGCTACCCGTATCCCCTACCGACGACGAGCTCATCAGCCGTCGCGGCTAGCAGCCTCACGGCACGCTGGGCACGGTTATACAACAGCGACAAGGTAGACAATGGCGATCTCTCCGGATAATGTTCTCTTGGTATTGCGATAAAAAGCATCGTAGGATCACTGTTTGATGAAGTCCGCACGGCACGTTGTATCAGAATGCCAATATCCCTACATTCCAACAGGGCCACTCCATGGACACAACGCACGCGAAGCGTTGTCTCGAATCCTCTCATCCTTCAGGGTCCAGCTATAACAGCCGCTCAGAAGCCAGGCACGCAATGGCACCGAGGACTTGGTCCAGCCGTGCCAGCTTCACCGGTGTCATCTTTAGGCGACCCGCGCCATATGTATCTAACCTCGAGACGGGAACGCCCTTCGGGTGTGGTTCGCTGTTCCTTCCAGCAGGATCCTAATATCCGCCCCAGGAGCTATGCTAGAAAGCGAAGAAAATTCGTCCTGCGTGGGTCTTTCTGGCGGCTTGTGCACAACACAACTGTCGAATTATTCGTTGGTCTGGGGTGGGTACTAGGGATTCCCGGGAGATCACCGATAACAGGTTGATATGCGTCCAATTCTTTCCCTTCTTGAAACCAGTTCGGCTTGTTCCCTCCGGTTAAGCCTGCTTCACAACTGATCGCAATGTCCTGAAGCACATGCGTCTTTGCGTTGCATCCTGATGTGTTTCCACAAGCTTCCTCCCTAGTCGTTCCTTTCTTGCGTGGATCATTTTGTATATCTCATCCCTTCATCCCCCACATCGCGGCTGTCAGCGTTAGGGTATCACTATGACTTACTACGGCGACAATGCTCCTGAACTTGCTGCCTCGGTCATCGCGCTGACAGTAATCGCGTTCACTCTTTTCGGGTTACGAGTCTATACGAGACTACACAACAATGCTTGGGGCTTAGACGACTGGAGCATGACAGCTGCCACTGTAAGTAAACCTCTAGGTCATCCTTCTGGACAGCTCAGCTTATGGTGATATAGGTCCCCTTTACCGGCTTGACGATAGCATGCATAGGGGGTGCTTTCAGTGGAGTTGGAGTCCACGACTCCAGACTAAGTGATCAAGAAAAAGTACAAGGAATGGAGGTATGTTGCTATTCAGCGCTTGTATCTCTACCTGCTAAGTCATGAAGTTCTTCTTCTTCTTCGAAGTATTTTACTGCGCGGCTATCATCCCAATTAAGATGAGCATCACATTCATGCTCATCCGCATCGCATCACGAAGAGTTACCTACATCTACGCCCTGTGGGTCGTTTCGGCCATGTTCATCGTCATGAACCTGATTGCGATGTTGTACATCATTTTTCAGTGCACTCCGGTGTCGTGGGCTTGGGATACTTCGACCCCTGGTGGGAAATGCAACCCAGCGCAAACACTGGCGGACATATACTACGCGACGACTGCGGTCAACATTGCGACGGATTGGTTCTGCGCGCTCTTGCCCATACCGCTGCTTTGGAATGTACAGTTGAACCGTAATGCTAAGCTTTCGGTCGGTGTCATTCTCGGCCTCGGTGCCTTGTAAGTCTCGCTTATGTCTTGGGAACGCGATCGCCGTCTAATGCGTTACAGAGCGAGTCTTTCAGCCTGCATCCGCCTGGTCTATACTGTAAATCTCACGAGCTCGACCGATTACCTCCGTAAGTAATCTCCCTTCTCCGGATCGCCCTTGCCGCAACCACCGGATAAACAACTAACCTCCCCACCAGATGGTGTATCGAAGGTGATCCTGTGGGGTTACGCCGAGAATGGCGTCGGCATGATCGTAGGATGCGTTGCCACACTTCGCCCTCTCCTCCAGCGCGTACTCAAACTCGGAAGCAGCGGCGGCACCAATCCTCAACATACACCTGCAGCAGGCTACGCGAAACGCCCGATTATAAAGAGCCGTTTGAGTGGAAGGGATGAGGAGTGGGTTGCCCTCGAGGATAATCAGATGGTGAACATGGTGCATGGGCAAGGCACTACTGGCAGTGAAGAATACATATTGCCTGTGAAAGGAGGAGGTATCCAAGTTACCAGAAGCGTGGAGCAACGATCTAGCGCTGTCAAAGAATAGGGCTGTAGCTCCTAAACAAGCGCACCTGGGCGAGCTCGAACGCAATCGCAAGGGCAACACTGTATCCACAAAAAAAACATGACCAAAGCTAATGAGTATATTTAATAATATCCCTCTGATGGGTGGAATTAGGATAAGATTTGCATTCCTTCGTGGTATGAGAGCACATGCATTGTGCGCGAATGATGAGACTTCGGCAATGCCAAACGCGTTGTCCGCCCCTAACAGTCAAAGTGGTGGCCCTTACTGGAGCTGCGACCAAATGAGAATGGAATCGGATGACCACCAGAAATAACTAGTCGCAAGCGCAGTGGGTATCGTCGCGGAATATCTAACGCGCTTGGCGTGTTACGGAAGAGCGGCCCCGGGTTTGTCTTCTCCCGAGCTTACGATTGTTTTTCCCGTCAGCCGCTGTGCGCTCAGGCGCTTAGGATCGGCAACCTTGACACAAGCTGCACAACCAAGGAATAACTGTTCGTACGAGAGTGTGCCACGATTATGCAGGAGGTCGTAGATGTCGTCGGATGCGTTGCCCCAGCTGAAATGTAGCCAGGGAGCTGTACCCAATCTAGACCCAATGTGTCTCGTGTAAGCCTCGGTGCATGTACCTGGAATCGAAGTAAGCGCATGAGTTGGATGGAGCTGAATGTCGGTATGGAGTAGAGTCGTCAGATGAATGGGAATAAAGTCGATTGGTCATTAGCCAAGCACTCATCGGCTGGCTGAGTCGTATTAATTCTGACCATTGCAGCATGCAGTCAGCATGTACACGATCTAAGTACACCCTACAATGCCTCTGATATCCGCGACAGTATAATGGTGGATATAAGAGTGACTTTGAGATCACATCCCATCCTCGTAGTTGACAAGCCCATAGTCAAAGCACAGCCAACATGACAGAATTTGAAAAGGCGTACGATAAAGCTATCGAAGACAAGATCCTTCCCGGATATGCTTTACTCGCGGGTGACAAAGATGGTGTGTAATCGTACGCGGTTCGTATGAATAGTATCTGATAATTGAGCAGGCAAGATCCTCTACTCGGGTGCAAAAGGTGTTCAGTCGCTCGTAGAGGGCTCGACACGCCCTTTCCAGCTTGATACAATATGCGCTATCGCATCGATGACAAAGCTCGTGACCGCCGTGGCAGCCTTGAAGTGCGTTGAAGAAGGACTTATCACGCTCGATGAAGACGTAGCCAAGCATCTGCCTAGTATTGGAAAGTACGGCATCATGACCGGTTTCGACGACCAGAAAAATGAGGCGGTCACTGTGCCTCATACGACGCCGATCACCCTGAGGTGAGTTCGCACTAGTCTATTAGCTGCTGCCTATCTGACCAAAACAGGATGCTACTGAGTCACACGAATGGCCATGAGTATGACTGGTTCAATCCTGATCTGATGAAGTGGCGTGCAAGTCGTGGAGAGACCCCTTGGTGTGGACCGACTGTAGAGGAAAAGTCCACTCTGCCGCTTCTATACGAGCCAGGCACTAGCTTCAGATATGGCGCAGGCTCAGATTGGGCGGGTAAACTCGTCGAAAAAGTGTCCGGGAAGACACTCAACGCCTTCATGAAAGAGAAGATATGGACGCCACTGGGCATACATGACATTACCTTCTACCCAAAAACGAGACCCGACATAGAGGATCGGATGGCGACTATCAGCACACTAAACGAACAGGGTGAAGGCCCGGTAGCAGATACTAATGGCTTTGACGTCCTGTTCGGTGCCACCGACTGCTTGGGGGGCGCTGGATGCTTTTCGAGCGCTGAAGCCTACTTTGCTTTCCTCCAGTCCGTTCTAAGGCACGACCCCAAGCTGTTAGGTGAGGCTTCCTGGACGGAGCTCTTCAAGCCACAGCTCGATAAGAAGTGCAAACAAGAGTTCAACAACTACCTCAAGTGTTCACCGCTGCATACGCAGTATCTCGGCATGTGTCTGCCAACAGATATTGAGAAGCAATGGTCGTTCGCTGGGATGATTGTTGAACAGGGCCAGCAAGGACGTATGAACCCTGGAACCGTCTTCTGGGGAGGTGTACCGAGCATGACCTGGTATCTCGATTTCGAAGCTGGGGTCTGCGGCGTAGCATTCTGCCAAGTCATACCACCGATGAGCCCGAGCATATTGAAGCTGCATGAGCTGTTCCAGAGAGCAATGTATGAGAAGGCAGCAGCCTAATGAGTCAGAGTATGTCGGACGAGGGGTCGAGAGGCACAGCACAGTAGAGGTTATTGTCGAGAAAGGAGGCCCGTGCACTTATCGATAGGAAGGACGCCACCTATGTCACTTCTCACCTGAGCGAGCTTCAACTCCTTCTGTCCATAGTACGAAAACCCTGTTCTCGCAGAACAAGCTCCATCAGCGCTCGATGTACCATATTCAAAGGTCTCGAAGCTCACCGTATCTATGATTTTACATTTTGGATCTCGAATGGCAACGCATCGTTTAAACACGACGTCGTTTAGATGTGTCCAGTATCCCTCCAATGCTTCATTGCCAAACCCGCCACTGGGTTTCAATACGTAGTGACATCACTGGTAAGTTGTGATTTCCAACAGAATGTAGCATATTCGGGTGTTGAGTGATCCCCGCATTACAGGCTGGATAAAAATGCACACCAAGGCTGCCTTGCCAAGCGCCTGCTGCCTACAGAAGTGCAATTGCGTCTCTATATAGCCTGGTGATCTCTTCGGCTTTCTATCCAAGGCCTCTCACCCTCAAGTCTGTGAGTACTGGCGTTCGCCGCCGCTGTTTGCCCGATCCTAGTGCTCAGAACCGAAAAGTATCTTCAGACCCCTTTCTACAGCCAAATCACCGAGATATCGCCCATAGTATACGCTTGTGTCATTGGCCATGGCGACTTCATCGGGTAGTGTATTTGGCGCGACGCTCCAGACGATCACAACCACAAAACTCGAAGAACTCGCGAAGCAGCGCACTGTCTTTGAAGAAGATTATGCTGCACTCGTCGCTGCTGCGAAAGCTGAAACAGACCCGCTAAAGCGACTGTGTCTCCTCCTTGACGGCTCAAAAGCATGTCTTGGTTTCCAGACAGAAAAAAGGACCAAGAACGGCCGTACAGGATCAGTGATTAGTGGATCATCTAGAAACGTGCGTTTCGAGACTGACCTCAAGAACCTCGATCGCTTCATCGAGCAGGCGCGTTTCGACCCTTCCGTTTCATCTGACGTTCTTTCGGATTGGGAAGAAACCCTCTTAAGATACCTGTCGATTCAGTCCACCAAGTTTCAGTATGCCGACCTCTACGGCAAACTTGTCACTGAATGGCTCTCTTCCGAGAGACATGCAAGCGAAGATGGCGATATTGAGATGGGCGAGAGCTTTGAGGAAATACCTGGTGCTAAGAAGCTTGCATCCCGTGCTGAGTGGGAGAAAGACGTCTTCAACGCGGCCGAAGTAGACGAGCAAGCTCTGAGATCATATCTTGATGAGCTATTCAAGACAGATAGTAAAGACGGCTCCGCTGCAATTCTGAAGTTGCGCCAAAAGGTCGAAGACTTCGAGCTGAGTTTCAAGAGCTCGACATCCTTCAACAACAGTACCCTTCGCTCAACCATAAAAGGGCTTTTGAACTCCAATCTTCTCTCAAACGAGAAGCGAGAGGCGCTCAGAGACTTTCTAAGCAACGGTAAGTACGCATGGAGTTTCTAGAGTGCTCATAGCTAACGATTCACAGACGTGATACTCGCGGAGTTATGTGACATCCTCAACGTGCGCATGACGGCCCTTGATCGTTGGACCTGGGGGCCATATGTCCTGTTAGAGCAGAGAAGAAAGATTAACGGTGACTTCTCCATCCACTTCGATCCGGACCTTCTTCAGGCCATCTTTCTCCATCACATTGGTGTGAAGTGGTGAGTCGTCGTCCACTCAAATGATCCAGAATGTTGTCTCTAACTGCTCAACTTTTAGGTCCGTGTTCTTCAAATCGGCATTCTTGGACATGCACAAGCATGTAGCCTGGAAGAGAAACTTCACAGAAGTTTCAAAAACCGACCGTCTGCGACGATCATTTTTTCTGGGCGACCAAGGCATTCGAGTTCACTCGACCGTTGAAAAGAAGCGCGAAAGCATACATCGCAATAGATATTTTGTCCACCAATTGCTAGATTATGACACTCAGCAAATTGAGGCAGACGAAGGTGAAGAGGAGGCAGAGTACGGAGATTACGTTGTCCAAAAGCGTCGAAGGGCATCGGTACAGGGAATGCACTCCATTGCGAGCCAGGAACTAGGCAGAGGTCGTACAATGCAGACAGCAAGAATGTCTACCGGTTACAATGGGGTGCTAGCTGCTTCTTCAGAGTCAGGGCAGCGCGAGTCTATGGAGGAAGAGGAAATGGAGAACGACAGAGATACGTATAGCCCGGAAGATCAAGAATACCGCCGTCAGTCCAAGAAACCGATGCAAGCGAAGCAAACCCTACTTCACCTCGTATCCACTGAAATCGTACTGAACACGAGATTGCACGGACAACTGTACTGTCTGCATACAACTTTCGACTCCTGGAATCCATTGTTGCCACATCAAACCATCTCTACCGTTCTAGACTTCCTTGGCATATCGAACAGATGGCAGAAGTTCTTTGCGCGTTACCTGCAGGCACCACTGAAGTTCGTGGACGATCAATCATCCGAGCCTCGCTTGCGCCGCCGAGGAATGCCAGGCTCCCATACCCTGAGTGATACGTTAGGGGAGGCCGTGCTTTTCTGTTTGGATTTCGCTGTGAACCAAGCCACTGGCGGGCCAGACCTACACCGTCTCGGCGATGACATTTGGTTCTGGAACCAGGATCATGATACGTGTACTAATGCCTGGGAAAGTATTGTCAAGTTTGTTGATTTGACGGGAGTCAAGGTTAGTTATTGAGCAAAAAATCACTGTGATAGACTAGCTAACAGTAACTTCAGCTGGACGAGAAGAAAACGGGCAGTGTTCGCGTCTCGCACGACTCTGATGCTGAGACTGACGATCGCCTGCCGAAGGGCGACATTCGATGGGGCTTCTTGCAGCTTGACCCAAAGAGTGGAAGGTTCAAGATCGACCAAAAGATGGTCGATGGCCACGTGGAAGAGCTGCGCACGCAGCTGAATGGCAAGATGAAGAGTGTTATCGACTATATACAGATCTGGGTAAGTAGTTCAAGTCCATCGGTTCCACGACAGAACAGCTGATCAGATGGAACAGAATTCCTACGCAGCTACCTTCTTCAGCTCCAACTTCGGGATGGCGGCCAATTGTTTCGGACGCGAGCACGTTGACATGATGCTCGCCACCCACCGCCACATTCAAAACAGCATTTTCCCCGATGGCAACATTGTGCAACATCTAAAGACAACGATCAAAGAACGCTTCTCTGTCGAAGACGTCCCAGATGGGTTTCTCTTCTTCCCCGTCGAGCTTGGAGGTCTGGACCTGAAATCTCCATTCGTTGGCCTATTGCAAATTCGGGAATCGGTCAAGGAGAACCCATACGATCTGCTGGATGAGTACGAAAACACCTTGCGTAGTGACTATAACACTGCTAAGCGCGCGTTCGATAAGGGCGTTCGTCGTCCCACGCGTCGCAATGTCGAGGATGCGAACTGGAGGCCTGAAGACCCTGACACATTCTTCTCCTTCGAGGAATTTGCCAGATACACCGAGGCATTCGTAACTACCAATAGGGCGAGCTTGTTAGACGTTTACAAGGAGTTGCTTGAGCGACCACAAGAAAAGTCCATAAATGCAAGCGAACCTGTGCTACAGGCTCAGCAGCAACTCCAGGGTCAGAATACCTTGCGCGGCATCACCGCGCAATGGAGTTCGATGGAAGCCTACTGGAAGTGGATCACACAGATGTACGGCCCGGAGATGATTGACAAGTTCGGTGGTCTCAACGTAGTAGACTTCGGGCTGCTGCCGATTGGTATGGTATCTATGTTTCGGCAGAGGCGTACAAAGTGGCAGGGTTAAACACAGTCAGAGCCTTGGAGCTGTTCATGACTCTCGTATACTTTTAATGTAGTCTTGTGCGTTAGGCGCATTAGTCAGTCGACAATGGATGTGTCAGGTCGATCTTGTGCAAGGCTTATGTCTGGCTATGTTACCGCGTCTTAGCGCCTTCCCCCGCATTCCTCTTGAACGACCTCAGCACTGGCTCTCCATCGTCTCTGACCTGCACAGCGTTACTCTAGTTATACACTACGTGTTAAGTAAGTGACATGGTTTGCGCAACATTCATGATTTAAGCTTCCGCTGTTTGACCCGCCTGGCACCCTACGAACGTGCTCTATGAGGCCTCCGCAGGTTATCCAGCCAGCCTTTCGTCAACGTCATGAGGCCGACTAGCAGTAGATTACATCTCATCGCCATAGGATGTAATAGTGATTCGGTATTTGACTACTCATTGTAATGCTTACTTGAACGACAGAGACCTCTTGTTGTGCTGAATGCATCTACCTAAGCGAACACTCCATTGCCGGAGCCACCTGCGACATCCAGTAAATCAATAGGACAACTTCGGAACTTCTAAAGTATCCACGAGAATACGAAGCGAAACTCTCAACCACACAGCAATGCTGGTTGTGCACAGTACGGAGATCTGCCTCGACTCTTGCCCAGCGTGACGACGCAAGCCCACGACGCCTCACGTATCCCCAGGTCCCCAACAATGCCCAAGCAGTGTCAGCAGCAGCCACGCGACCGTCCACTATCCACTGATGGAGCACTACGAGTTTTCTAGGCTGGGGCTATCGCGCGACGACCCGACAAGCGGCCACATTGTATCGGCAGCAACCTGGATGGTGATCATGCAAGCTGTCAACAAAGAGCCAACCAGCCACCGGGAGCATTCCGACGGCTTCAACGATGCGCATCACTGAGCAATAATATGGGTTTGTGGAATTGTTAGTCGACGCTAGCAAATGACGTTATCGGCAGGCGCTCTCGGCACCACCTCAAGACAAGGAAAGTGCCATGATGCACGAAGGAATTAGCGAGCCATCTCACCCTCAACGAGCCAAATTCCCCACGCTTTGCATCACTCAACGAGAACAGTCGGTTTGACTTATGGGGAGCGCAATTCGATAAATAAGACGTTGGGTACCCGTCACTCGCAAGCTTTGATTCTCCATCTGCCCCTCCTTTGGAAAATTCCAGACCATGTCCGTCATCGACACTACCAAGGACCTTTCGGCACTTTTCACGAAACAGGTCCATGCTACCCCGGATCTGATTGCGTTGGAAGACGACAATCATACATACACTTACCAAGAGCTCCACGACAAAGTCGCTGCCCTCGCCGAACGGCTGCGGGGCCATGGCGTCGGCCGTGACAGCTTGGTTGGTGTCCTGTTGCCGCGATCCGCCGACTATGTAATCGCCTGTCTAGCAGCACTACGGGCCGGTGGTGCATTTTTGGTCCTGGAACTGGCCTATCCTCCCGATCTCCTTGCGGACGTTCTCGAGGATGCTCAGCCGACTCTCGTGGTTACTATCAGCGCCGAAGTTGGCAAGATCAAGGGAAGCACCCCGCTTGTTGTTCTGGATGAAACCAGCTCAACTACGAACGGCCTGCTAGATGAGTCTAAGCTGAAGCCACTGCCCGAGGACACCGATTTGGACCGCTTGGCATTTGTTGCATACTCCAGTGGAACGACCGGTAAGCCGAAAGGCATCGCGAATCCACATCGAGCAGCAGTTCTCTCATATAACCTTCGCTTCGGGCTTTCGGACGTACAACCAGGCGATCGAGTAGCCTGCAATGTCTTTTTCGTGTGGGAAATTCTACGCCCGCTGCTGCGAGGTGCAACAGTTGTTGCTGTACCGGACGAAGCAAGCTATGACCCGCGCATGCTTGTCGATTTGCTTGCCTCGAAGAAGATCACCGAAACTCTCTTCACACCAACACTTTTCTCTGCCGTTCTTGCTCGTCACCAAGCGCTGGAGACGCGTCTGCCGAACCTGAAGACTGTTTGGCTAAACGGCGAAGTTGTGACCACCGACCTTGCACGTCGTGGTATCAAAGCTTTACCCAATACTCGCCTACTCAATGTATACAGCGCATGTGAGACACACGAGATTGCTTCTGGAGATATCAAGGATATGCTTGAGAAGCTGGATAAGGATGCCGCCTACTGTCCTGTGGGACCTCCCCTCATCGATAGGAAATACATCTATATCGTGGACGAGAGTGGCCAGAAAGTGGATGAAGGAGAGAACGGAGAGCTTTGCGTAGGTGGGCATTTGCTTGCTCGAGGATACCTAAATCGCCCGGAGACTACCGCCAAGGCTTTCATTCGGAATCAGTACAGCTCGAAGATCGGTGCTCGCATGTACAGGACTGGTGACAAAGCACGCCTTTTATCGAATGGGTTGCTCGAGATTACTGGCCGTGTTGGCGCTATGATCAAAATCCGCGGATACTCTGTGGTACCTGGAAAGGTCGAGAGCGCAATCCTCAACCACTTAGCTGTCAGCCATTGCGCTGTAGTACCCTTCGGGGAAGGCATTGACAGACAACTGGTTGCATACATTGTGAGGGACAAGGATACGTCTACAGAGCGTCCAGAAGTTGAGATCGACCGAACCGGCCGCAGCTCGACTGCCAGACGTATGTTGATGGCATATCTCGCCCACTATATGATACCCGCACTTTGGGTGGAGATGGATAGCCTTCCAACAAGCGACGTATCTGGGAAGGTTAATCTCAAAGCTCTTCCTCCTCCCAGGCCTGCATCTCCTACTGGAAGCGCACGAAAATTCGAGCAGAGCCCCATCTCCATCGAGCAGATTACGGAAATCTGGGCATCTATATTGAGCATCAGCCCAAGCTCCATTACCCCCGAATACAACTTCTTCGATCTAGGTGGTCACTCACTGCTACTTGCCGACCTGGCTGCGCGCTTATCAAACACATTCGGATTTAGGGTACCAGTGGCACGCCTCGCTACTCCAGCAACGCTTAATGGCCATCTGGACACTGTCCGTGCTATTCGTGACGGACATACCGCCGAAGTACAGGAAAATTTACCTGCTGTCTTACGTGCAGATTCTGTACTGGATAAGGAGATCCAGCCCAAAGATGCCAAGATGTGTGCGCTCAAAGATGCGAAGACCGTGCTACTTACTGGTGTCACCGGCTTCTTGGGTGCTTTCCTTCTCAGAGATCTACTCGAGAGCACGTCGGCTCAGATCGTATGCATGGTCCGGTTTGCCGATTCCTCACAAGACGATATACCTGCCGGTATTGCTAGGATACGCAGGAACCTGCTGGACTTTGGTCTGTGGAGCGATAACATCATGGAGCGTGTCGAGATTCTTCCAGGAAACCTGTCGCGTAAGCGATTTGGTCTAGCTCCTGACACGTTCAAGACGTTGGCGGAACGCATTGATGTAATAGTCCATGCGGCTGCCACTGTCAACTTGGTTTATCCCTACGCTGCATTGCAGAAACCCAACGTTGGTGGTACAAGAGAGGTTCTTCGTCTTGCTGCTCAAGGCGGTGCCACCGTGCAGTATATTTCTACTAACGGAGTGCTCCTTCCTGCCAAAGGTCGTGAAGGGTGGTCAGAAGACGCTATGCTTGATGTTGATGAAGTAACCAAACTCGCCGATGGTTACGGTCAGACAAAGTGGGTGGCCGAACAGCTTGCTCTGGAGGCTGGTCGAAGAGGTCTTCCCATCAAGATCCACCGTCTTGGAACCATCAGTGGCCACAGCGAGACAGGTGCTGCTAACGCATGGGATCTGTTGACCGCCATGATTGTTGAGTCAGTCAGAATCGGCCACTATCCTGATGTCAAGGGCTGGCGTGCGGAGATGACCCCAGTCGACTTCGTCAGCAAGGCCATAATGCACCTCAGCAACCAAACCGAGACTGACCAAACCATTTTCCACATTGGAGACCCCGATCCAGTCGATGTCAGCAAGGTCTTCCAAGATCTCAACGCGCTAGGTTACCCAACTCAGCCAATGGAATTTGAGAAGTGGACCAGTCTTTGGGATGACAAGCGTGGTTCTGCCAAGGGTGGTGATGGTGCCTTCACGGTCGATATCCTGCGAAGCGGTATGCCTAGCATCGAGTTTCTCAGGGATGTCGTCGTACTCGATAATGCGAAGACCAGGCCGCTACGACTTGCAGTAGAGCGCCCGAAGGTGGACCAAGTACTTCTTGAGACTTACACACGGCACTGGTATGCACGAGGATGGCTACCAAAGCCTCCTACGCAGCAGGACGCAGCAGGAGGCTCTGCTAAGCTTCCCCGAAGAGGTCCTCTCTTCGGTAAGGTTGCCGTAGTCATGGGTGCATCATCTGGTATTGGCGCTGCCACCGCCACCGCTCTTGCCCGAGAGGGCTGCCATGTCGCCCTTGCAGCTCGTCGCATCGACGCCCTAGAAGATCTAAAGAAGCGACTCGTCATCCGCGAAGGCAAGGTCATTACACAGAAGACCGATGTTACCGACAAATCTCAGGTTGAAGCCCTCGTTGCTGCAGCAGAGAGCCAACTTGGACCTGTCGATATCTTCGTGAATGTTTCAGGAGTGATGTACTTCACCATGATGGCCAACACATACACAGACCAGTGGAACCAAACCGTCGACGTCAACTGCAAAGGTCTCCTCAACGTCATCTCGTCCATCGTGCCTTCGATGCTCAAACGTGGAAAGGGCCACCTCCTTGCCATCTCCTCGGATGCTGGACGGAAGGTCTTCCCTGGCCTAGGCGTCTACTCCGCATCTAAGTTCTTTGTCGAAGCTACACTACAAAGCTTAAGGCTCGAGACTGCTGGTACTGGACTGAGAGTCACTGCCGTGCAGCCAGGAAATGTGGCAACTGATCTCTTGGGTATGAGCACAGACCAAGAGGCGTTGAAGAAGTTTGGAGAGCCAAGCGGAGCAAAGGTTCTGGACCCAGAGAATGTTGCGGAATGCATTGTGTATGCGCTCAAGCAGCCGGAGCATGTTTCCGTGAACGAGGTGCTCATCGAGCCAAGAGACGAGCCCATCTAGATACCACTGTCCTGTAAGAAAATTTAGATACACACATCGTCACGATCCACGATCAAGCCGTATCTTGCCCGGCCTTACTAAAGACAAACATTTCTAATACCGTTACAAGTGATCTCATCTACATGGATGGGCTAAGCACGAAAGTCACCATGCTTCTTCCCGGCACCTGCGCGCTAACACTAGTCCCATCCGCTGTCAGCGTCGCCACTATTTCATCGCAATCATGCCCATTGTCTGTGATCCATGCCTTGGCCGCAAACGCGACAAAGCCGTTCACTTTGACTGTCACCGTACCTGTTACTGTCCCTCCTTGTATAACTTGCACCGCTAAGCTTTTATCCACATTCCTGAAAGCGCTAACTCGACTTCCACTCGGACCGCCACTCGCGCCTATCCTCGCCGCGCCTGGTCGCACATGCCTACTCCAATTCGCAAATGCCCAAAGACGCTTACTAGGTATTACTGACTTCTTATCATCGGAGATGCGAATGAGCTTGCTGTTTGTTGCTCCGCCTTGGACGCCGATCCAGTATAAGTATGCTGAGGCGTTGGCAGTTGTAAGAGCAGTATGAATTTTGTTCGCCCAGTTCAGTCCTTCGCCTGCGCCGTTGTTACTGTAAAATGCTGTTGCCCAAGGGCCTTGAAGATCCGCATTCTCTGTTTGCCAGACATTGTGCGGGGTATTTATTGGGCTGTTAGGTTGAGATGTGTAGGAACTGGATCGTTGTTAATGCATGGAATTAACGCCTGCAGAGAGAAGGAGTGGCTTACTGCGCAGTAATCGTACCTAACATACTACTCACGCCATTCAGAGCACCCATCATACCCTGCTGACTACTCCACCCCTCAGCATCACAGCAAGTAATCTTGACACTCGTAAGATTTGCTTTGTCGAGCGTCGGCCTGAGCACTTTGATGAAGTCTGCGGCCTGTTGTCCGTTGCTTCTCATACTGGCATAACTTGTCGTAAGATCAGGTTCGTTCAGGAATCCCAGATGCGTGATGTTTACACCGATATCCTTATAGTAAACGATGTACTGTGCCAGGTAGTTTGCGTATGCTTGTTTCCAGTCTCCACTCGAACAACTAGCTGCAGATACTCCACAGAGTGATCCTCCATTCGCATCATTGTTGTTCGTTTTCATATAGCCTGGTGCTGACCATGCGTTTGCATATACAGTATCCACACCATACGTCTTCACTGCCTCCGTACTGACCCAAACTTGGCTGTTATCATTACCATCCCATACATATTTCGGCACTGCGTTTGGACCACCGGGGTTCTTGGGTTGAATGGAAACCATGTGGTCGCTACTAGAGTCCGGAGATGAACCAATACCATTACGAAGGATAGAAAAGCCGGCGCCTGAAGTACGGTTAAAGAGCAGATCTAGGGCGTAACGCTGAAGTGAGGGCGAGAGGGCATGTATTTGGTTTGCGCGTTGGAAGGTCTCAGATATACCGAAGCCATCTATGGTCTGGTAGATTTTGGCTGGGTCGACGGTTACGGTTGAAGATTGGCGGGGGTGAAGAGTTGAAAATGTACTCGCGAAGGTCGCGAGCGCAAGGACGATGTAGATGGAAAATGCCATGATGAAAGTCTAATGAGTTGACTTCCTTGCACTGCAGCTTGCGGTCTGCAGGTGCGCTTGATCTGTTGTTAGTTGTTATGAGACGTGGTAGCCAAGCTTTTATATATGCATCCTTTCTGTTTAACCTTTACCCATATGAAAGAAGCAGTCGTAGGGAAGCTACTGAAATCCAGCCCCACAGACTTTACATTTGGTGGTGGGGTGGTCACCTACTTAGTGTTCCCTGCCATTGAGACCAATTCTAGCGAAAACGTCATTGCTAGTGGTGGAATATCTTGTGAGTATCTCCACAAAGCAATATAATTATAATTCAGGTATTGCTAAACGTAGGAAAAGATATGCGGGTCGCGATGTAGACCAGATGGGTGAGCAGAACATGGAAAAGTATGGTAGTAAAGGTCGGAATATGACGGACAACTAATGCATCGAGCCATCCGTATGTTTTATCCTGGTTGCGTTTGTTACCTCGTTAACCTCGCATACCTTTACTTGGATGTTGTGATAATGATGATGTTAAGTAGATAGCTTCTATCCGTGGTTGAGGCTGTCGCATCAATGGCGGTCGCGCTAGTTTCTTGGCAGTCGTCAATCCAGCAATTCGCGGAAGAGCGACTGTCCTCATAGCAACAATCACCCACCATGGCCAACCCAGTAAAAATAGACGAAGCGGCGCATGCGTCTGAAGCCCCTTCAAAGACCGACGACGAGATCATCACCGTGTCTGCACCACTGAAAATCGACGAAGCGGAAGCCTCAACCACCATGAGCGCGACCGAAACACCTACACCGGATGCGACTTCCAACCAGGAAGTCACTGCGCCAGAAGATAACTCCTTAGCCACAACGACAAACCCCGACCCGAAGGTCGCCCTTGCCGCACGAATGGCCCGCTTCAAAGCGCTCCAAGCCGCCAAAGTAAACGGCCGTAAAGCGACAGAGCGCGAGGTCCGCGATGCTGAAGATCGTAGCTCTCGCCTTGCGCAAATTTCCAAACTCGGCGCACTCAACGAGAAAGCCTCCTACAAACTCTTGAAATCCGAAGACCCTGATTTCGAGCGTAAAAGGAATTGGGACTACACGGTTGAAGAGAGCGAAAGTTGGGACAAGAGACTTAAGAAGAAAGCGAAGAACAGGGATGGTGTCGCATTTGCAGACTACAGGAACGAGGCGAACAAGGTGTACAAAAGGCAGATTGGTCAGATGAGCAAAGTAGATATGGAAGCGTACGCAGAGGAGAAAGCAAAGAAACTGCAATCGCAAGTATCTTCCGGCCTTCTCCAACTCGTTGAGACGGACGCAGGCGAGATTTACACAGTCGATAACCAAGGGCGCATCAACACACCAGTCGACGAAGCGTATAGCCACGATCACAAGCCATCCAAAGAAGCTGTCGATAGGCTAGTAGAAGACCTGGAGAAGGGCGAGCGTGCAAGGTTGAAGGCCAGGGCCGCAAGGGGTATACGCGACGAACAGGATGTCGGCGATGTCACGTACATCAACCAGAAGAACAAGCAGTTCAACGACAAGCTCTCGCGCTTCTACAACAAATACACAAGCGAGATACGGGACAGCTTCGAGCGAGGAACAGCGATTTAAGGAGGCGAGAAAACGAAACTATTGTACTATACCCTGGCATTTTGCTCTAAAGGGCCGGCGTTGTCCATGCGAAAAGACATTGGGAATTTGGCGTTACACTTATTGCATTACGGTACGAAGTTCCACCTCATACAGGACACCAGACATAGTTTGAAGTCTGAAATATACTCATATTCTTGGATATCATGCGCCTCACTTTACATCATACTACTCAATACCCTGTTCACATCCTGGCCTGGCTCGGGCTTCTTCATCGCCTTGCTCGTAGTCGTGTGTTGCGAGAACTCTAGCCTTCCCTTCCTCCTCTTTGGCTTCCCATCTGCTTCCTGCACTGCTTCTGCTGCCTCCACTGCCGCATTATTACCGTCAACATCATCCCCTCTCTTCCGCCTTGTAGCCTCAATTCCACTAGCAACCTTGCCTCTCTCCACATTCTCCAAGAATGCCTTGTTCTCTTTCTTGCCCTGTGCAATCTCGAACCTGAGTCTTGCCGCACGCTCTGCGTTCTCATTCTGGATCTGCTCGACCAGATTGTGCCACTTAACTCCACTCAAGTATCGGATATTCCACACTTCATCATGCCACCTGCCCCTCTTCTTACCCCCCATTGTCTGTGCATTCAAGTTCTCGGCGACGAATTTGGCATCGCGCTTGTGTATAAATTCTACCCAGCCATCAAGGAAAAGTTTGCGACGCGTGCCTCCGTTGCGCAGGCGCTGAGTACGGGAGGTACTGGTTTCTGGAGTCAGGAAAATGCGGCCCACAGCGCCATATGGTGTCAAGAGCGAGCGCATTACGGCTGGTTTCATGAAGGGTGGGACGCGCGAGAGGTATATCACGCCGGACTTGTCTTTCTTGAGTGACGATGGTGGTAAGGCTTTTCCAAGCTTTGTGGATTGTAGCTTCAGTTCTGAGGGAAGAGATGCAGCAAGTTTCTCGAGATGTGCTAGTTCGGCGTTCTTGGATGGAAAGCGCTTCGCCGCGTGTTGCTCGTCCTCGTCGTCCTCGTCTTCGCCGGAACCTTGGTCCTCTTCTCCATCCACTTCTTCGTCTCGTTCTTCGTCCTCAGAGTCGTGGTCTACTTTTTGTCGCTTTGATGCCGGGAGCATGCGCGCTCTGCTCTCTTCTTCGGAATCGTAGCCCCTCTCCTCATCCTCGCTTTCCTCGACGTCAAGGTATTCGTTTCGTTTGCGTGTCGCCATTGCTGTGTCGTACGAATTGCTGTGCAAACGAAGCGTATTGGATGGTATGAAATGCGCACAACGTTATTGGAGCAGAGCAAAGTCTGGCGCAATGTGTATGCTCGGGCGATATGCAGGCGCACTTGTTCACTCGAAACTTTTGCGGAGAAGTCGCGGAGGTTACAGTAACTTTTGGGTGGGGCCCGACTTAGCGTCTTGGCGGCCTGTGGCGCATCATCCAGCCCAGCCTTCCTTCCTTTACCTTCTCACACCTACATCACATCCACATCGCATTCACCATCCGCAAACATGGGAGGCGACCTCAACCTGAAGAAATCCTGGCATCCGCACTTGCGCAAGAATCAAGAGAGGGTATGGAAAGAGGAGAAGTCTGCGCTCGAGGAGCGCAAATTGATCGAGAAACTTCGCAAGGAACGCGAAGAAGAAGCACAAATCGAGGAGCTTCAACGATTGCAAGCTGAGAATGGCGGCAAAGTCGTGCAGCGACGGGTAGACTGGATGTACGCGGGCCCAAGTGGTGATGCAGGCGTTACGGAGGAGCGCGAGGGCTACCTACTGGGCAAGCGCAGGATTGACAATCTGTTGAAAGACAACGACACACAGAGCCTACAGAAAGGTGCTGCCGTCGGCATCGATGCCGCCGCTGCCGATCCCAACGCGAATAACGCTCGCGACACGCAAAAGAAAGTCCTGCAAGATCCGCTCCTCATGATACAAAAGCAGAAGATGGAGATGCAGTTGAAGGCTATGAAGGACGCGCAGAAAGAGGCCAAATATGCTGAGAAGCGCGAGAAAGAGAAAGAGCGAGAGCGAAAGCACAAACATCGGGATAGGGAGCGGAGCAGAGAGCGAGAGCACAAACACAGCCGGCGTCATCGATCACGCTCGCCGCGCAGGAGGGAGGATCGCGACGATCGTCGCGATCGTGACAGCCACCGTAGACGGTCAAGATCTCGCTCACGATCACCCTATCGCAAGCACGGCAGCCGGCGAGATCGTTCTCAATCACCGCGTAGGAGAGAGGATCGTGGCGACCTTCGCGACCGCCATACATACCGACGACGGGATCGCACGCCGCCTAGAAAACAACCTGATGATGCTGAAGCCCATCAGAGCGCGGCCGATCGTCTCGCCGCTATGCAAGCAGAGGCGACATCGCTCGAGGAGCAGCGGGCCGAGCGTGTTCGACAACAGGAAATCAAGGATAGAGAGGAGGAGGAAAAGCAGAAGATACAAAAGGACGGTGGACGTCGCTTCATCTCGAGCATGCGCGGGCAAGCTTCCAACATGGATCTAGGCGATGCGATCGCTCGTGGACGCCAGAATCTAAGGGCAGAGGTTGACGCTTGAGGTTCGAAGGTCTGATCTATCGCGCTTGTAGTTAACGAACAGTAAATTGATACCCTGGCCTGGCCTGACCTGACGAAGCTGGCTTTACTCTCGTTGCGTAAGTGCTGGGAAATCCTTAATGACGTGACCGCTAACCATTATGTTTTCGATCGTCTGGCACCCTTATAAGCAAATCTATATCAGAGCTCGACTAGGCTTCTCGAAAACATGTTGATTCCTTTTACAAAGATACATACACAAGGCTCATATTCTTATATGCCTCCGGAGTAGGGTCACTAGCCTTTCTAACAAGTTATAGTCCTTCAATGGGAGACACTGTACTGAGGCTTGCGCCAAGCTCATGCTCGCATTATCTCTAGTAGCTGTCTTCAGAGAAGCCCGCGCAAAGTACTCTTTCGGTTTTCTTGCGTGTCCCCACGATAGTTTCCAACCGCCTTCCTCGAACGATTGTATGGCAGGCGATTATCGACCACCATTCCAGCCTGCGGTCGGCGCAAAGAGATCCTCCATGCTGTCGCCATCGCTTTTACCTGTCTTCGAACCCGAAACACTGTATGATCTTGTTACGGCGATCCGGCGATCCAATCTGTTATCGATATGCTTGGTCGCATCTGCATCTGCGCTTTGGAGTTCATAGCTCTTCTCTCCGCTTCGCTTCACAAACATCTTCAGTTTGCGAATTCTGGATCCGTCTCCGCTCCCGCTTCCGCTCGAGAGGGAAAGTATCCAGGGCATATACTTCTGTATGAAAGGCTTCAAGAGCGCGATACAAGCGCAAATGACTCCGCCGTTGAGCTCGACTGTAGAGAAAATGCACGCTTTGGCCACGTTGTAAGTCGAGTCAGGATCACTGATCATACTGTAGACATATATAATGCGGACAGTGGATATGACGACCACTCTGTAGAGGCTGTCAGCACGCAACGCGAAACGGCACACCAACTGGGGATGCTTACCCAGATCCCAGAGCGAACACCAAACCCAGTAATACCTTTTGTTTGATGGGCAACTGCAACGCGCGCAACATAGGTATCGGCAGACAGAGGATCAAGAAGTCTGTGATAATGTTTATACATGCCATGAACAGGTTGAGATCCGTAAGACACTTTTGGTCGGTGTGCGTTCGCGGATTACATGGTCCGGCGGCGACGATGGTGATAGCCAATGAGTATCCGGTGACTAGGACTGCCAATGCGTAGATGGATGCTTGGACTTTCCGGTCCGGATTGAGACGGTAGTAGAGTGCTAACAATGAGAGTTTGGCCAGAGCTGGTGTCCAAACATACACCACCATGATGCCGACAAGCATCTTCGTGTAGCCCATCAGTTGCTCCATAGTCACATTCCAGAGGTGCTGACCGAACCCATACTGGAAAGCTATACTTGAAGTCAGTCGTGTACAGAGTGACTAGCGGCATACGCACATTGGAAACATACGACCATCCATCCTATGCAGCCGCACCAACTGAGGACTACCAGCGCATCGTCCAGCCCTGTCATACGGCGGATGAAGATGCGAGTATACAGTCGTAGTCCAAGCACGATGGTGGAAAGTATCGTCATCACGACATACACCACGATGATCCTACTTTGAAGACCGGTTCGGTCACCACTGAAGTCTGTCTCAACACCAGGGGGTGCAGGCAAGACGCCCGACTCGGTCGTACTCGAAGTCATCATAGATGGGGAATGCCGTGGGCTTGCAGGAAGAGACAGGACTTTGAAAGGAGGGCGGGATCGCTAGGACCTCGTGCTTACTCCCGGACTCGCAGCGAACTTATCTTTGGAGCAGTTTGAGTTACCATGCTAGCTCGACACGAGGGTACACAGATGATCTTTCCCGTACAACCTTGCTCCTTCAACAGTGGAACCATAATACGCAGGCGCATGCTCTGGCCGGACAAGGTTCTTGGACATGCGCTCTCCTATCTAAATGCCAGACAAGATCCTCATAAAACCAAAGAAAGAGGAACTACGTCCTTTTTGCCATGCTTATACCCGTTGTCTCAATCCGCTCTAACCGTTTGGAGGCCTTGCCACCGCTTCGCCTGGCGGACTCTTACATTCCTGTCCCAGAAAGGGTAAGCGTCGCATGCAGCAGCAACGCTGATTCACGTACCGAAGTTACACAATATGGCACTCCCGCATCCAATAAGGTGGTGCTCGGAGAATTGAGGCTACACTACATTTCTCCCAAAGAACTAGACAGCTTTGGGCTACTAGAAAACTCCACGATATCGACAGGTTGGAACACTAACCAGAGATGAGTTTGTACCGAGGCGCTAGTCGGCTATGTACGATAGTGTGTGACGGAACCCAGCAATAAAATGCTGACCCCTGCATGCTAATCAGCATGCGGCAAGATTCCTGTTGCGGAGCACCAACTGGAATGGCAATCTGCAGTTTGCAGGACAAACGGGAACCGTGCATGTCCCACTTCATGAACTGGGTCCGTCGATCGGGTTCTCGCACCAGTTCTCCACGTGTGACTGTCGGCTTCCGGGCAAACACGACGCACCTGCAAATCTTCCACGTTTTGTACTCCCGATAAATACCACCCATTGCAATTGCAACGGTAGAATACTAGCACCCGCCATACTTGATTCAAGGATACGTTTGGAGCGGAGAAAACATCTAAATCGGCTAACAGCGGAGAACTATCTGTCGGCCGCCACTGTCTAGACAGCTGATCACTACTGAGTCCCAGGACACTCGGACGGGATCATAGTTTCATACACAGCAGACCATGGAGTCGGTTCCCACCACTGTCTTTGTGTTCGCACCATTGTCGGCGGTCATCCTGCACGAATTTGTCCTGCGACGAGTGGAAGTCGACCATTTGACCCTTCAGATTCTTGGACTAGCGATTACCGTATACTGGGTTCTATTCTATTACATTGGATTCGTCGCCGCGACACTGGTGACGAGTTTCTTCTGGGTTCCACTGTGGCTGTACATCGGAGCGTACCGTGCCTTTTTTCATGCACTCAACGTCTATCCGGGACCTTGGGCCGCGAAGCTATCGCGATGGTGGACTGTCAAACAGACGTATGACAGTGGCCTGCATTATCATCGGGTTCTGCAGCGGTTGCAGAGTCGGTATGGCGACTATGTTAGGACAGGTCTGTCCAACCTATGTACTTCCTTCCAGATCCAGTACTAACACCGTCAGGGCCACGTGAGCTCACTATTTTTGATGCAGCTGCGATTCAACCAATTCTGGGAGCACAATCAAGTACATCGAAGGGTCCTTTCTTTGACGTCATGGAGAAGTCTTTACATCTCAACCGCGACAAGGCATTCCACCGCCAGCGTCGCAAGGTCTGGGACAACGCGATGAAAATATCGCTTTCGGACTATGCGCCGCAGGTCGAGAACTTCACAGATCAGCTGCTTACACGATTGAGAAGCGAGGAAGGAAGATCCATTCCACTGTTTGAGTACGCGACATACTACAGCTACGACGTCATGGCAGCACTGGCTTTTGGCAAACCAATGGGCTTCATCAAAGGCGAGCAAAGTGATGTCGCTGCTAGTGTTCTTGCTACTTTCACGAATAGCGTCCAGGCGCTGGGATACATGTATCATATGCCATGGCTGATGAACGCGATTGGTGTACTTACCTCGTTCGCAGGACCCATGAAGGAGTGGCGAGACTGGAGCGTCAGTCAGATGAAAGCACGCATGCAGGTGACGTCTCTCCCTTTGGGATTCCAATAGGAACCAATACTGACAGCTTCATCTAGGTCCGAGATGCCAAACCCGACCTAATCTCACACCTCATAAACTCCACCCCCAAAACACCAGAAGGTCGCGAACTCCTCTACGGCGAATCACGTCTCATCATTTCCGCCGGCAGCGAAACGACTTCCTCAGCCTTGACCTTCCTCTTCATGCACCTCGCTACACATCCCCATTATATAGCCGCTGTCCGCGCTGAGTTTCTTGCGAACATCGACAATTACGACTGCCAGCGCCCCATGCCAATGCTAGAAGCTGTAATTCAGGAGTCAATGCGCATGTGGCCTTCAGTCTTTTTCGGTTCACAACGCGTTACACCCCCACAAGGCATGGAGGTAAATGGGCGCTTCATCCCAGGGAACATGATTGTGCATATACCTCTATTTCCCCTATTTCACGATGCAAGGAACTTCGTTGCACCTGATCAGTTCATTCCTGAGCGATGGACGACGAAGCCTGAATTGGTACTCAATAGACAAGCGTTCATACCGTTTTCGACTGGCTCGTATAGCTGTGCAGGGAAGGCGCTGTCTTTGATGGAACTGAGGAGTGTGATCGGAAGGGTGGTCGCGGAGTTTGACATTGTACTGGATGAAGGAACGGATGCAAACGCTTACTGGGAGGGTATTCTGGACCATTTCACTGCAGGAGCACCACCGATGACGGTCAGGTTTCTCAGGGCGCGATAAAGGCTTGTTGGGAGAAGAGTAGACATTGACTGTTTTATCTACTCCATACTTTCAAAATCAGTTTATGAATCCAAGTTCGAACGGGTTGCTCCGGGAAGCCATGTCTAGCATTAAAAGACTCTACTCAGGATGATGTTGCTGGATTCGATGCCTGATCGAATCCAAAAACCTAACAAAGTAATACAATATAATATACAAACAGCAGAAGAACCATACCTAGTCCCTTTTACCCAGCAATCAAATAACTGCATATCCCACACAGGCTCAAAAATCTAGAAGACTTTTGCCAGGAACTACAACCGCAGTGTTCGGAACCGGTAGATCTTTTACCGGTTCAGCCTTTGGTACAATAAATCCGTACTCAGCTTCCCAATCATCTTCGTAATCGCTCTCATCCTCAGAATCCCAATCACTGTCTTCGCTATCGTCTTCGTAGTCGCGCTCACTCCACCCATCGCTGTCGTCATCTGTTCCCTCCTCGTCTTCGTCCGCCCAGTCCGCGTCGTCCTGGTCATCGCCATCGTTCTCGAAGTCGCGAGTTGTGGCGATGACGCCAGTAACGTTCGGAATTTCGAGAAATTTGGTCATGTTCAAGCCTTCTAGGTTCCCATTGAGTTGCTCTGTCCCCGTAGTGTATTTGCGGTATGTGCTTTCCTCTTCTCCTTCCTCTTTGCGCTTGAGATCGAGTTGCACAACGCACTCCTCGTCCCAGGCGTTTGTGTTATCAAAGCGCACCACTCGTATCGTATCCCATAGCGGCAGTGGCTTGTGCGTAAGACAGTGTACGATATGAGCAGCATATGCCGATATGCCATAATGTACATACATCGCCTCTAAGCCAGTCAACGCCCTGAACATGTCTGCGATGTATTCATATTGGTATTTCGAAGGCGATTTCTCAATCTCTTCTTCAGCTGAGTTTTCGTTTGACATTCCAATATCTTCTTCGACCGAGCTCTCTTTAAGTCTTAGGTATTTGACGTTCGACGCGTAGATAGGGTTCGTCGTTACGGTGCGTAGGAACAGATCCCAGCGCGCGCATGTATCTGTGAGACTGATGTTGGTCGCGATGTATCTCGAGGAAATGCGATTGAGTGAGTGTGCGGTCAAGGAGAGGCTGATGATAGGACGGTAGAGGGTCGGGCATTGGCCGTGTTCATCGTCGTTGATAGTGGGTCGGTCAGGCGCGAGGTAGACACATATTAGATGTAGAATGGGGTCCGGGAGAGACGACAAGGTGAGAATAGACATGCTTGCGACAGGAGATGAGAGTTTCAACGTGGTCGCGACGAATCCGCAGGGCGAAGAAGTAAAGAACGAGAAATTTTCGAAGTGGCGGGAGACGTTTGTGGAGATATATGGTAGGGAAGACGCGTCTCGATGATGTAGACGCGCCGAACGACGCTAAGTCAGACATGGTATGACGCGTGCACCCGAACGCGAAATGTCGCGATAGCCTTCAGGGACTGCAGAACACGCTGAAAGCGGCTACACTGCGTGCCGATATATTGTATGTGGGTTATCTGGCAATCCAGCCCCATTGTCCTATCCGTAACCTGATGACCCCGACGCCGCGCTATGCATATAAAAAGACCAGCGCTATAACATCACTCATAACTTAACTTTCTTCGCCGGCTTTTGCTCCGATGTCGCATCGTCCTTCTTCCGCTTGAATATGCTCTGGCTCTTCATTTGACCCAGTCCAGCCTTGTTCGCAGGCGCAGCCTTGGCTTTCAAGCCGAAGCTTAGCTTAACAGGCGCTGCATCCGCCTTGGGCTGTTCGGCATCTTCCTTCCCATCCCCTGGCTTCTGTTCATCGAGCGGGGAGTCGGCCTTCTTCTCCTCTGTCGGCGACGCTCCTTCTGCTGGTGGGGTGACCTGTTGTTGGACAGCCGCTTGAGCCGCTGCTCGTTTGGCCTCGATAGCTTTCTTGGCTTCGGCTTCTTCCTGTGCACGCTTTGCCATCTTCTTCAACATCTTGTCTTCGCCAGCACCGCTTCGAGCCTCAGCAGCCTCTTGCTCCGCGATCTCATTCCGCCTGTTTACAGCTGCAACAGAAGTATCTCTCCAAGCAATCATCAATCCGTCTTTCTCGTCTTCCTTGACATGGCAGATACCCTCCCGTCCAAGGTGTTTGGCAAACTCGGTCAGTGAACTCCATTTCGTAGCGTTCATGTGGACGTGTTCCTTGTCTCGGATGTACCTAAAGCCAGTCAGCGTGTGTTCTCTGTCGCATGAACCAAGAATTCTTACTCGTTGTAGAATTTGTTTACTCCAATCCACTTCTCGTTATGCGCAGTTCGTAAGAGATTCACAAAGTCCCTTTCGAAGTCGTTGCTGAAGCCCTGGATGTACTTCTTGGGATCCTCGCCAACGATTTGGAGGTTCCGGACATGGCTCTCGCTCTGAACGTGACATTTGAACCCGTTTGCGTCGCGGCATTGCTTCTGGCAAGGCTCACACCACCAGCGCAACCGCTGCAAGCCCTTGGACTTCATCTTGTTGGCGACCCATTTTGTGCTGCCTGCTTCGGCCTTTCCCATTGTTGTGGTTGTGGTAGCGTTGATGGATCTTCGATACTGAAGCGGATTCGGCTATAAATTCCGGTCGTGTATATGGTTACGGGCTTCGTGTGGAGGTTGTATAGCGAACGGCGCAAAAGGTTGTGTCTTTGACAAGTGAAGACTACGGCTGGACCTGCGAAACTCATCAGTCTGGCTGACTAAAGAGATCGCCACCCGCGAGCGCGCCAACGCTAAAGCGCGGCTCGTTGTGCACGTGCCATTCCATCTACTCGGACCCTTCACGCGTCATTCTTTTTAGCCATCACAAACGACTAGAGCTTGGTACACAGGAGATAGCGGGAACACGATGGAGTTATTGTATGGGCCATTTATATTTGGAATCTAACACTAGTATACACCAGACGAGCTGCTCCTTATTGCCCAGTTCTCGCGCACGTATCTACGAAACTGACTGCTCGACATGCGTAGTACGCACTACAGTCCAACTATTAGCAATGGTTTGTTTCTACACTACGCGCGAAACTTACTGATGACACGATCGTCGCCGCCAAAGCCCTTTGGTCGGTACTTAGACTTTGTTTCGCAATATTGGTGTAGCTCTAGGTGCTCTTCCGAGACACTCGACCCGAGGTTCGACACACTAGCATTGGTATCCAGATACTTCTCCAGATGATAAAACTTCGAACGTTGCTTCAAAGGCACAGGCGTCCGCTTGCTATTCTCATAACTTTCGGGTGTGGACGATGGACGAAGGTGATTCTTCACGCGGGGAACGTACGGACAGCACCCCACGATGATGACGATGGCAAGTTCAGCCATACTGAGTTGTGTTAAGCCCGCGTCTCTTCAAAGGAGTATGACAATCGACTTACCAGATCAAACCCGCTTGGGTCAGTAGCCAGGAGAAGTCAGACTGCTGCAGCAGGATGACTCGATAGTACAGTCCTACACAACCAATCGCGACAGCACTAATATACATCAGCAAAGTCTTCACATGTCGTTTGAATGGCATCTGCAAAACTCACATTGCGCCCACGCCGAAAATCGCCAAGACCGCGATCTTCCGTTGCAGCTTCATACTCAGCTTCCATATCGCCCAAACTGGTACCACGAATGCTTCCACGTCACTGATGACATTCAGAGTTCCCATAGCCATGTTTAGTTTGTTCGAATCGATACATTTCCCTTCGATACTTGGTTTCCATATTTTCTCCCTTGGCCAGCATGTAAAGACGTACAGGAAAAACATGGCAGTATAGAACAGCGCATTAGCAATCAACGAGCCAACAATCACCCAGAAAACGACACCCCGAAACCTCGTGGTAAAGATCTTCTTAAGCTGCAAGAAGACGACAGTCTTCGCGAGTCCGCTCGTGGCCGTGTAGCAAACGAACACGATATTGCAGATATAGGATATCTCCGTGAAGGTCACCATAGAGATGTCCCACATGTGTCGAGCCATACCGACGGTTTCAGCATGCACGATGGCTGCGGTGTAGGCGATACAGCCAACGTATGAGATGTAGGAGAGGTAGTCCTCAATGCAGCATGCTTTCATTACGTATGCATTGACATAGGCGCGAGCCAGTATGAAAGGTAGAGTGAAGAGATGGATAATCGTGGTGCCGACAATCACGGCCGGCATGAGCGTCGGAGGGTTCACGAAGTTGGTCGTTAGGCCGGGCGGCGGAGGAAGGATCGGAGTCTGTGTGGGATCTGTTGAAGCCATTGTGCTCCTCGGACGACTGGTCTTCCAGTGGCGGGCCAGGACCGAAAGGTATCGTGGGTTGTGCTTGGAGAGTGATTGGCAAAATATCACAGAAAGAGAAGGCTTGCATTATTGCGCGCCTGTCTATGATCCCACATATCACAATTTCGCTACGTTTGATCCTGCGGCTCAGTTGCATCGCCCCGTGTAGATTGAGGCTGCGGAAGACGAAGGGGACGAGGCGATCCCTTCCGTGCAGAAACGCCCCTCCCTCATCCTTCGCGGCTTATTCTTGACTACCTCCAACGATTTCACCATAAGTGCTGGATATAGGAGGCTTGTTCATGGTTCGGCATCCTATTCCCGTATCCGCAGGATATGCGACGTGCGTTCCCTACTAGCGAAGTTGGTCTGCGCCGCAATCGTGCATCGGCATCGGCATCCCTTTCCGGAAGGTAGTTGCAACGTGCCGCGTATTGTGGGTACGGCAGATGATATTATGGATACCGAAAATAATTGTACAATGAATGCCATACTCCTCAAGCAACCATTCGTAATTGGAACATATTCCCTTTATCGATTCCCAGGACAATGGCTGACCAACCAGACTACGATGCGATAACTTGGCCTGTCCAACTCACAAGCAAAGTCCATCGTAAAAACAACCCGTTGCTGAATCCTAGCAACCCTGCTCTCTCAGCTGCAGGCAAGACAGTCCTCATCACTGGGGCCACAGGTGGCATTGGTCGGGCGATTGCTGAAGCATGGAGAACTGCCGGTGCTAAGGCCATCGTCATAACCGGAAGGAACCAAAAGAGACTACAAGAGGTTGTTGAGAAATTGGAAGCCACAGTCCAAGATGGTACGACCGTACATTCCTTCGGGTCCATCGATATCACGAAGGAAGAAGATGTTGCAACGTTGTGGAAGAAAGCAGGGGAGGCAGTGGGCCGAATCGATGTCCTCGTCAATAACGCCGGATCCTTGACGCAAGCTATGATCGGCAAGGGTGATCCGGGAAAATGGTGGCAGGATTTTGTAGGATTCCTCTCTTTTCCATATGCCCCTTTATGGTTACTGACACCTACCCAGGAAGTCAATGTCAAAGCCGTACATCTGAATGTGCACCACTTCCTCGCCCAAGCACCGGACGGCAAGGGCACAGTAATTTCTGTCTCGACAGGAACGTTAGGCGACATGTATCCCGACTTCTCCTCCTACATCCCCAGTAAACTCGCGCAAACCAAGTTCATGGAGTTCCTTCATCATGAACAGCCTGGCATCCGCACATTTAGCCTTTTTCCCGGCCTCGTTGCAACAGATATGCCGCCAAAGCAGTATCTAGAGTATGCCCTTGACGATCCCATGCTAACAGGAGGCTTGACACTTTTCCTCTCTACTGAGAGAGCAGAGTGGTTGCGAGGCAGCATGGTGAGTGTGAACTGGGACTACGAGGAGATGGAGATGCACAAGGAAGAGATTTTGGAAAAGAGGTTGACGAAGTTGGCTTTTTGTGATGCGAAGTTTGGGAAAGGAGGTCATCCTTGGGCGACGTGACGAGAATACAGGCATGTCTGCTCTCACATCACTATCCGTCGATACTATGATTGCGTACCTAAGTAGCATCAGATTTGGTACCGCGCAATTTCACTTGGAATGAATTCCGAGATATCTAATATGTTCTCATGCTATGTCAGACGCACCCTCTTCTCCAATATGGCTTCCCAGTCCTTTTTCGCAAATGGCAGATACCGATCACTTCCAGGAGGCAGCCAGTACAGTTTATCCTCACCCGTAATCTTGTCCGGATCTACACCTTCCTTCTTCAACCTGCCCTTTTGAATCTTCAAGGTACCTGTATATTCCAATGCAGGTGTTACTCTTAAGAAGAGTGGTACAGCATAGCTCGGTAAGACTGCTTTAGCATGCCTCGCCAATGCTGAGAAGTCAAATATCGCTTCAGTAACGCCGTCCGCCATGACAACGGAAGCAGCTCCCGCGCGGCCGTCATAACCAGGTACAAGCACGCCGTACGCGTTAGTTTCAGCAATCTGTGGGAATTTGCCAATCATGTCGGCTACTTCGTTCGTGGACACGTTCTCAGACTTCCAACGGAAAGTATCACCAAGGCGGTCGACGAAGAAGACGCGGCCGTCGGCATCCTGTCGCATCATATCGCCAGACTTGAACCACCTGTTATTGTTAGCCTGTCGCACATCAGTCTCCTAACAACCGAGACTTACATATCACCTTTCTCGAACACATCAGTGATCCTCCGACCCTGCGTTGCACCCTCGTTGTTGTAATAACCCGGTGCACTGGCCACCGTCTCAGGTGTCAGCCTATGCAAGACCTGACCTGGTTCGTTAACTCCACATCGAATCGCAAAGCCTCTTGCATCTCTCATAATATCCTCGGTGTCAACGTCCATCTTCACTCTCACTTCCTGGTCCCTAAACTTCCAATTCCAGATCAGACCTCGGAGACCAATGCTATTAGCTGTAAAAGGACCTGCATTACGGTTGAAGGTCGACCCCAATCCATCTGTAGCCGCATATAGTTCGTTGATGATGGGTATGTTGAAACGCTCACGGAAGGGCTCCCATACATCTGGGCGCATACCGTTGCCCCAGGCCATTTGCACCTTATGTTTTCGCTCGTACGGATTCGTTGGGCCATTGAGCAAGTATCGGCAGAGCTCGCCGACGTACTGTATGATGGTTGCATCTGAAGCTGCTACTTCGGGCCAGAAGGTCTTGTGCGAAAATTTCCTGCTTAGTACGATTGTGCTGCCAGCATGGACGATCGGTGTCACGCAGAGTCCGTGTGCAGCGCCGTGGTAAAGTGGCATGCATGTGTACATTCTGGCTTCTGGTTTGAGATCCAAGTATTTTGCGACACCATAACCTGTCAAGAGCTCGCGACCGGTGCTCAAAATCACAGCCTTAGGCAATCCAGTAGTTCCAGAAGTATACATGAGCGAGCGGATAGACTCCATGGTAAGTTGTTCGCGACGTGAGTCTGGTATAGGTGTCGAGTTCGATAAAGATGCAAAGGAGGATGTATCGAAATATTCAATCTTTATGCCTGTTTCCTCGAGGTCGGCACGGCATGGTTCGACTTTGCTCTTGACATCGGCGTCGGTGATGAGAAACCTGGAATTGCATATCTGTTGCAATGATCAGCCCAATACTATGGGCAGGATATCAGCAAACTCACTTTCACGCAATGCACCAAACCCGTTCCAGTCAAATTCCAATTGACGAAGCTTGGAACGGCTCCAATCGCGTCCAGAGCAAACCAAAGCATCAGGTACCCTGGGCTATTGCCCCCATCCATAGCAACCACCTCATCTACTTGTATGCCAAGGTCATCTATCAACCAATTCCCCACTCTTGTAAAAGCCTCGAAGAACTGTTTGTACGACCATGCCTTGCCTTCAAAGATGAGGAAGGGATGGTTGGGCTGTTTGCGAACCTGGTCTTCGAAGACATGGTAGGTAAGAACGCGTTTTCGGATGGCGCGATCGGTAATGAAATCTACAACATCTTGTGATTGTGAGAGCCCGCCGCGAGCATTCTTGAGGTCATGAGCAATGTGATGTTTTGCGTTCAGGTAGGCTGCGACTGCTGCTGTGCCAGCCGCTCCAGCAATTATGGGTACTTCGATGTCTCAGCATTTCCAAGGCACCGCGACAGGGCAGGGGAAAAGACTTACATGCCATCGTGCTTTTCGCCTCCTAGGGATTCTTCTATTTCAGACGATTAATTGAGAGACACAATGTCTGACCCATCTACACAACCCCAATCTCCCAGAGTCAGTGAAGCTACTACACGAAGAGAATTAGAGAAATCCATGGTTAAAGGCGCGATTCGTTTGACAATAAGACCGAGGTTGTCATTGTTGTGGAGTCCTGATTCAGGGTACCTAATAGACATCAAATGCGGGGAAGTTATTTCCGATATATCCGCTATGATCAACGCAGACCCGAGCTTAACCACCACTGCATTTACAACTCCGTCTAAAGAAGCACAATCGAGCGTGGCTCGGGATAATCTGATGCTTCCGGATACCAGTGCCTCGAATCCTGGACGAATGTCAGTGTTTCCATTCTTGATAGTTTCATCGCAGTCAAGGCTTCTACTTACGCCCTTCGCATCATTGAGATCTACTGTTTGAATTACTACCAGTCCGACCCTTACGTATTCGCTGCGCTCTTCATTCGTGCAGATGGTTGCTATTCCAAAGGCTGGCGCAATTACCAGAACATCGCAGCGCTCGTAAGTGTCGACATCGAACAGAACGCGCGCAGGATGCGCCTTCCGATCGCGCATTTGAACACTGCACGAGAAGTAGGTGTGCTGTTCCGAGTTCCGTGATATCTGATCAAGAGCCACTACTGTACCAGTGATTCGGGCGAAGCCAGCCGTCAACTCGCCGAGAGGATTCAGGCCCTTGGGTGTGACACTGCACTCTTCGAGAGTTGCGCAAAACTCTCGTAACGACGCATTCATGTTAGAACTGAGAGCTCCCAGGCTGTAGTCTACCGGACCATCTCCAGACATGAATGACCAAGAAGGAGCTATCCATTTATCAGGCCGCTTAAAAGGTGCAATATCATGCTTAGGTATCCACAAAAGCCACTTGAGGAAATTGCGCTTCCAGAGTCCAGCGTAACTCATGTCATCAGTCATGCGCCGTAAAACAGTCATGATACCTGAGATGGCTGGGAACTTGTCTTTGGAGTAGGTAATACCTCTCGAGGTGTAGTCTCGAACCAGCTGAAACCAGGCATTTTGTCCAACCGATACACCTGGTGGTAGACCTATGCAGGTTACCATGGCACTGAGAGTGTACAGGTGTGTCCATTTTTTGTTTTGCTCTTCGTGTTCAATGCCGTTAGGGCACCGCCAGAGCATGTTGTCGCTTCCGAAATGTATAGAACGCTTTGGCAGTAGTTGCTCTTGTAGAACCCAGGCTCGTTGGTACAGTGGATCTCTCCCTGTCTAGGTCACGTCAGACTATTCAAGGATGCTCCTTACGCAGTCTTACATTGTTTCGCGTTTGTTGAGCAACGAGGTATAGCTCCAGATCACCCTCATCGTCGCGAATTTCGATACGTTTGGTCAATGGCATCTTCCGTGGTCCTAGGAAACCCGCTCCACAGTGCGAAGCATTCGATGCGGCAATGTTTATGTATGACTTTGAATAGATATCAGCCATTACAGCTGACTCTTTCTCCCAGTCTGCCGCATCATCTTGTACTACAAGTAAGGACATGAAGGTCAGTTTATAGATCAAGATCGGAGGCTTGAACTCGTACCAATGGCAAGACAGTCAATCCATATATACCGAAGACCAAGATACCGCGCTATCATGGTGGCATCCTGAAGAGTTTTTGGAAGATCCCGAAAGTTGATGCCACTCTTTCTCGATGACAATGTCTCCTTGGTAGTCATGAACGGCAGACCGCTACCCCAACAGTAGCTGAGCGTGGCATACTTTCCTAGCTGTCCTGTGATGGTTTCAACTAATTTACATTCGCTCGGAAGGAACAGATCCTCCCACTCATGTACATGCTCAATCATGACATCTGCGCTGGGCATGGAGCATAGGTCCAGGACCCTCGTAGGTAATTCTGCATCTTTCTGAAGACCAGAGCACTTTGTATGTCCAGTATTGCAATCGTGAAACCAATAATTCAGCTGTTTCATCGGTACCGGGTCGAGTAGCTTCTCTAGTTTTACACTTTGAAAAAGGTTCGGAGATGGAGTGTCTGGGTTCCATAAGCTTGTCATACCGAGCTCAAGTGAGATATCACGCTACATACCAAATCTACTCCGAAACTCCACAGCAGTCGCCTCTATGGGGTCTTGCTGCTCGAGATATAATTCGAGCTCCTGATTGTAAGTCCTTTCGGATCCAGGTAGAAGAAGCCACACAGGAGTAACATCCAGATCCATCTCTTGTGAAAGTCGCTTGTACCTTGGCCTATTTTCCAAATCGTGAATAAGCATGCTGCATAACACACAGTTGACGGAATTTTCCCTCAATTGCGGTAGTGTGGTCTGACGTCTGTTGCATGTCCAGATATGGCTGTCGCATCCCCATGGCTGACCATTTTCATCGACCCAGGATTCCTTTTTCCATCCTGGAGGATACTCACCGCGCTGAAGAGCACGGAAGGGAATTGATATGCAGCTTTGGCAAAGAGACATGGTAGATATCTGAGTAGTGATCAAGTAAGCGGTAGTTGCGAATTGTTGAAGTGAGGTGTGCTGAGTGGGGTGTACCCGCTTCTCACAGCCTGCAGGTGCTCTAGGCCTCCCACGCGTTAGTTTCTACATACTCAACCCAACCAACTTTCTATTTTGATAGGTACACACTCTTTAGTGGTGCCATACAATGCTTCAAGTTTCCACTCAATGATGTATTTCTTAGCTAGGTTGATGTAGGTACCAGACCTGTTCAACATTAGCTTTATTCGTAGTCGGCAATACCTGGCATATGACCACGCGGGTAGCAGTGCTCTGATGTGGCTTTTCTCCTTCTGATATCTTCGAGAATTCTGTCGCATTTATCACACATATGTCTTTCCGATAGACTCAAGTCGAATGGAACACATCGCTCATTTCCAAATTCTATCTGTTATCGAAATTCCTATGCAGTGCAGAAATCTCACCAAAAGAGGCTATCGCGGACCATATCCAATACCTCCACCTTCAGTCGTGATATCGAACCATCCGGAGTTGCCACCAACACAAGTGGTACACATATAAGCCCACCCTCTAGGTCTCGACTTCTCTTCCAACTCCGGGTCTAACTCAACGGCACGCTTGTAAGCCGCCGTCTGGCCGGTACTATCGACCGGATTAACGTACTCGGGGACGTCGCCAAAGTCCTTCTTCTGAAATCGCTGGTGCCAGGTAATATCTACCGTGCTGCCGGGGACAGAGGAGAATGGCATATTCTCGACGTAGTGGACCTGGATGCCGAGACCGTACATGACGGCTGGGAACCACTTTAGGCGGTCAAAAGAAGCCATAGCGGATGCGCTGAGAACAGGGACGACGAGCTTGAAGCGGGATGCTGTGTTTTCTTTGCTCCTGCCCTGGTCTCTATCAGCTAAGGGAGAGGTGAGCTTCATCAGCGCGATCAGTGTGTTGAGTTCTGGGATACCGCCATAGGTATACTGCGGGTGGCGCGTGAGCGACCAAAGACGCCGGCCGGGAGGTTGAGCCAGCCCCTTCTCGAACGCGTCAGCCTCCTTTATATACTGGTGCATACGGCGAAGGAGACCGGGTGATGTACTCTCTTTGCGCATCTCGATGCTGAACCGGACGTGGCGGATCATGTCAAAGCGACCCAAGTAAGCCAGGCGGTCAAAATAAGTCGTAGTATCCGGACCGACCTCAAAAGTGTTGCCAGAGTAGAAGATGGGGAGGGCCTCGGCACGGGTCTCCTTGTTGACGCGAGTGATACCGAGAAGATCGCTGGTCGCAAAATGATCAAGCTGGTTGTCATCGTGAAACTGGATAGTATCATGATCAGGGTAGTCGCACAGATGTGGTTTGATGGGGCGACCCGTATGAAGCGCGAAGGCGTAGATGGATCGACGTATAAGTAGTTGCTGGAGGATAGCTGTGCGCAAGGACGGGAGAGGTTCATATGCGTTCGACCAGAAGAATCATTACCAATTTCACCATCTGCAACTAATGAAGGGCCATTCTCTTCAATGATCCTTCGAGGGTCCGTAGCTTGGTTCGCAGTCTCGAAAGCGTGTAAAGGATCCATAGAATTCGGACCATAGAACGTCGGCCGACCAGGAATAACTCTTGACGAACTATTTGTATTGGTATGTTCTTTGTCGAAGAAGACTTTGCCGCAGCTGTCACAAGAAAGCTGTGATTGAGTCCTCTCCTCTGTCTCATCGGAGGGTTTGTTGCACCCGTAGCAGTACTTGGTTCCGTCAAGTAAGCTCATGGGGCTAAAACGTGGACAGTAGTCTTTTGGCGGAAGCAACTGCGGGTCTTTCATAGACACGGCACGAGGTACGTTACCCAGGTTTTCCAGCTTCTTATCAAAAGAAGCGAAAGGGTCGTCTATATTAGTGTGTAACTGTGGTTGCGACAGGCCTCCTTTTTGGCCTTGGTTTGCATGCCAATATGGCACTGGCTTCAAAAGCTCCACATGCGCTTCATCAGCGAAAACTCTGTCGGTCTTTTCTGCGCCTGATAGGTGCTGAGCTTGACTGGTACGTTGCTGTGTATATGTTTTAGCCTTTTTGGAAAGAGGGGATTCCGAAATAAAAGACCCACCATGCGAACACGCTTCGACGATCCAGTGGCTGTGGTGGGTAGTATCTCGTTCGACAAGCGTTTTTTACGAGGTTCGCGCCTGATTGGCGAAAGTGAGTCTCTACCATTCATCGTGTACCAGTAAGACTGAGAGGCTGGTTAGAATGTTTTTGTAACACCGTACCTTGGTCACGGTTGACGCTATTTCGAGAAGTTGAAATTCAGGTTGAAGCGAGGTAGAGAGGTGAGGTAGAAGTTATAGAGAGCAAAACTAGGGAGATGAGTCCTGGTGAAGGAGCATTCGTATTAAGTTGCGCTCACTTGGTCTTCATTCGTGCTCTCACCTCTTTCTCTGTGGAGCCTAGAAGATATGGGCAAGCGATGGCAGCACGGGTGTACAACCACGGTACGTCTTATCTAGCGACAACACCTAAGGCCCGAAACTCATGACTCACATGAATTGAGAAATGGATACGCAGTCGATTATTCACATTTCGCGAGTGTTTACTTTTCAATCGCCGCCCCTTACCACTTCTTGTTTTCGTCGTTGAAGTCGCGTCCCTGGCGCTCTCGCTCTAACCTAGCATCAAACTCTTGCTGTGCGCGCTGCCTCTCCATAGCTCTTTCATCATCACCCTCAACAAATGTGTATGAATCCCCGAGCGTGGAGCCTTCTCTTTGCTCCCTGCGCTCAGGCTCTGCTCTCCGTGACTGCTGCTGTGGCTTTTGAAGGGGCGCTGGCGCACCACCGCGTCTAAGTCGGTCCCAGCTTGATTCGCCAGGCCTTGCTTGCGGCTGGGGCTGCGATTGCGGGTTGTTGACTTCATCCTGGAAGAGGCCGCCGGTAGGAGAAGCGTCGTCGTCGAAAGGAAGTGATGATGGCTGTGCAGACTGACGTCGTGGAGATGGTTGGCGATTCCAAGCTTCAGTAGATGGCGGACCCTGCTGGCGTTGTGAAGTCGATTGCGATGTATCGTTCGAGAAACTCTCCCACGTGTCTGTTCCTGCAGATTGAGTCCCCCATGTTTCGTTTCCAGCGGTCGGGCTCATGTCGTCCCCTCCATCGCCGTTCTCTTGGGGTTGCTTACCCCACCTAGCCTGTGGCGAAGGACCACCTCCCGCGCGATTCCTCACCTGCTCCTGGAACTCTCGTCGCCTGTCCTGAATCTCGCGTCCTTGTTGTGCGGTCCTTTGTCCTTCGGCGTGTGACGAAGCCTTCAACTCCTGTCCAAACTGTTCCAGTTTAGGATCGTTTGATGTGTTAACTGCAGCAAGTGGCTGAGCGAGAAGTTGGCCGATGATGTTGCCCATCTGTCCTGCCACCAACACATATAAAGAGAATCGCCATGTATGTCGTGCGAACTGCGCCATATTGCCCTTGATGGGACCAAATTTGTTTCGATCAATGTCCTCGACCTTGGGTTGATAGAAGGGGTATTTCATCTTGTCCCAGGTCCTGTACCATTGGTATGTTCCTGCAGCTGCACCCGTGGCAGCGAAATAGCTTTTTGTCTGCTCAAGCTGGTATATGTGGTATGCGAGCGCCTGTGCTTCCTCCGAGTTTAGTTGACGGCCAACCTTGCGCTCGGCGAACTTGAGGGTAGTCTCGGTCTTGAAGCGGACAGCGCGATCGGAGAAGCCCATGAAGGTGCCTATGATAGGTAATGGCTGGGGTAGGGTGCTCGCGTCGAAGCGAGCGCCTGAGGATGGCGGCGACGCGGATGCATATGGGTCGTCCGACGAGGGATATGGGTTGTCTGAGAAGCCTTCCGGGGCTGTGTTTTCGATGTCTTCGAGCACCATGTTGAGCTATCTGGGATGGGGTTGTCTGGTTGTCTGGTTGTGAAGTGCGTTGCGTGGTGTGATGCGAAGAGCCATCGGAGCTTGTGGTACTTCAAGTGCTAGACTCAAACGATGACGCCATGGAACATTGCCTCGGAACCACCGCCTGGGCAGGGTCCAATTCTGCAAACACCTATACACAATGCCGCTACCCAAGATGCATCTCACACCGAGTCGACATTAATTTCCACATTGGTCTGCTCTTCATTTCATAAGGTCGAGGTTAAAAGGTTGAAAGATTCAATACGGTCTATCCCCAAAATAATCCTAATCCAGCAATATACCATCCCTAGAATGTATGTACTTATACAATGGACAAAGAAACGAACCTGCCCCAGATTCGACCGAACTACTGCAAACCCCCATATGCACGCAAAGAAACAGAAACTAGAAAGTGTTGAGCGAGGAAAATACCCAATTCGCTTCAGGAGAACGCCGCGACCCAAAGCCGCCTACAACGGCCAATTACGATAACCAGGAGTAACTCTCGGAGTGCGCTAAAAGAAAAGCGACAAACAGAAACACGATTCACCATCCCTCGCTACACGCTGTATATACTTTTGCCGACCCTGAATGTCGTTCGAAGAGAACATGGTAACCGGAGTTTGGGCTTCAACGGATACGATGACTATAAGATGATGCAGCGGCAGCCAGCTGTAGGCTCATCTTCGGTATCTCTTCGGCTCCCAGTCTTTCCGGTCTTAGCGTTTTCTTCGTCGTCGACCATCTCTTGTGGCTTAACTGTCATGTGCACCACGTTAGGGGAGTCTGTCTGGAACCGGCAATCTGTCCGTTGTCAGTAGCTGCACCATGAGCTCGTAAGGGTTGGCCTATGCAAGCTGCGCGTCGTAGCTGGCTCGGCCAGTAGGAAGCGTGTGCCGAGCGGTTGGACAAGCCACGCCAAGACATGAGCTGATAGAGAAGAGGTTCTTACCTTTTAGTGGCGATTTGTCGTCGAGCATGCGACCAAAGTGGATCAGTCGTATCGAGACTGGCGAAGTAGGTCGAGTCTCCCATTCTGTGGAGAGTAGTTAGCGTTTGCCAAAGGAGGTACGGAAGTGCGTGTCAAGTTGCGATTGCGCTCGAAGCTTTATGCAGATCAAGATAGAGAGAGCTGGCGACACAGCCACCCCGCTGCCCAGCCAAGCATGACCCGACTTGTGCGCAGAGCAAGGAAGAAATGCGCATGCGTACCTTCTCGCCAGTCCCGCCATATCAGCTCCTTGAGCGTGTATACACTGATGTTGTAGGGGTCCATGTTCTCAACGTTGATGTTGCGCTTCTTCAGGTACTTCTCCTCGATCTTGTATGGATGTCTCGCACCACTAGTGAGGAGCAGCATTATCACGAGCACGGGGCCGTTGGTGTTGTCTGGGTTTGCAGCTGGTGTATCCGTCGACGGCCCAATTGCCTCGGTCTCTGCGCGATTTAACGCAGCGGGAGGTGCGGGTTTCGCAGACGGAGAAGCAGCGACAGGCGCATTCTCAGAGGCGCTGGTCTCGACTGCAGGTGGTGTGGAAGTCGCTATCGGAGCTGTAACGGGTGTCTCTGCAACCTGCGTGCCCGTGTTCGCAGAGGCTGGCACGACGCCCGACGCCTGGAGAGTCCTCATCTCGACTGGGCTTGACGACAGACCTTGGTCGCTCCTGCTCTGTGGTCGCGACCCTGCGCCCGCTTGTTGTGGAGTGCTCTGTGGTGCCGTGGGGGCTTGATCCGCTGTAGACGCCATGGTTGGCCGGCTTCACTCGCGATGTTATGCGGCAATAGGAGGAGCGAGCGATTGATTGAGGTCAAGCGAGTGGATGACGGATGCACGACGGGAGATTTCTTCCGGTCAGCGTCGTCGTCGTCGCAGAGGGAACGGCAGCGAAGAATAGTTTGGTGTTGAGATGTATTGGGGCTCTGATGCGTGGGTGATGGAAGGTCGGGCGACCGTGCGCGATTGGAAGGTCGCCGTCGCCGCCTTGCTCTCCTTCTCCGCAATCCGCGAATGCGGCAAGAACGACCCGCTGGCTCCACCAAGAGCCACTACTGAGCCGAGAACACCGCCTCAACGCGTGGCCATGATGCTGCCCGCTTGGAATTTGCTGGTACACATCCATCGGTACCACGCACCCTCGTCCAGCTGTCTTGTGCTTCTCCTGTCACTGTCAACTCTGCTGGGCCCGCAACGCGCCAGCCTTTCGCTACCCAAGCGTGTGCCCCTGCATGCTATCTCCCCATGGCGATAATTGGTCTGCATGCATCTACTTTACGCCACATGCACCGTAATCAAAGTGGACCCGGGCTTCTTCCCGACATATCTGGCAGTATTGTTCAGCACATGACAAGCTTGCAAGGTCACTACAGACTTGTTCGGTGGCCTGAACAGTGACATGCATGCCGAAAATCACATCTGTTAATGCGAGAGACCGGCAGCGAACGACGTAGCGCGCTGACTCTGCTCCTAGCCCTGCAATGTAGGTCAGTGTTCCGCCCGCCACCCATTCTGGTAGTCTTCGACTCCAGAGATCACGTAAAAGAGGACGAGGCATGCTCAGCGAGTTTGTCGAGCCGGGTAGGTTGGAGATTTCATTATTTCATTCATGTTTCGGTCCTGCACCACCATGGCATGTCCATGTCGTGAGCTGTCCGTACTGCGAGTTGAACTGTCGCTTGTGTGCATGTGGAATATCCTCCATGCTACTGCTCAAGCATCACACGAGTACGAGACTACCAGTTCATCTTCATCTTGTGCTCAATCTCCGTGTGGAAGTCTGGCACCTCACGTAGCTCGCTGCCTGTGAACACATCCTCCCAGCCAATTTCACAATCTCGTCCCTGCAGAATGTCCCGGTGAACGCCACTGCTTCCGCCCAGGGTTGCCGGCCTCCACTCGCCTGCCTCAGCGATCTTGAGCTCCATACCCCTACGCACTGGCTCTGCAATGCCAAACTGTCGCCTCAGCATTTCCATCTTCAGGCGATCTTGGGTGTCTCGCCATTGGGTAAGACGAGCCTCGAGTGGGTGGGCAGACTGAAGAGCGACGGGTGCTGTCGACGACGACGATGCGGTAGGTGCTATGGAAGTCTGGGCGAGGCGAGATCGCAGCGTGTCGTGGACACCGGGAGCAGAGGGTGCCGAAGTCTCGAGAGCGGTTTGCGTGGGGTGCGCCTTGTTAGGGACGAAGCGGAGAGACTGGGGTGCATGTTAGGACATGTCAATGTACACGAGCGCTATGGTGCTGGCAGCTTACCATCTTGATGAATGTGGCGCTGAGAGTACGTGGAGTGGTTTTGAGTTGATTGATACGGCGACTGGACGTCGGATACTCGTCTTGATATGCTGGAGTATTGTTGACGTTCGAAGGCGGGATGTCGAATTGTTGTTATCGATGGATGGGAGCTCACTCCAGGCTGCTAGTGACGCGCCCACTAGCGTGGTCTTGGCATACGAGTAGATGGTCAATCCCCGAACTTGACCGCATCACAAACATGAGAGCGAACTATCTAGCACAGGTAGTGTTTCCCTTTTGATTGCTTTCAGCTTCAAGCAGCTACATTCCGACCATGCTGCCCAGGGGCAGGTCCCAGATTACGCAAGCAGCTATCATAGCTCCTACACTGACCATAGCCGCCATGAGGATGTTGACAGCATTATTGTCTAGCAGATCGCTCCCAACCTCGATTTTCCGACTCTCATGCTGCGGGTCCACGACTGCATTGCCGCTCGCTCCAGCCTTCAGCATTGTCCCCGATGCCTTGACCGACGCTGCAGTGTCCACGCCGCTTGTCTTCGCGGTGCCATTCAAGCCTTCCGAACGACTGCTGACTTTACCTTGTATCTGACCCACTTTCGAGAGGTGGAGCGGGTTACTGCTGCGTACAAGAACTCGTCTGCCTCCCTCACCTTCTACAACCTTGCCTGAATGCACGTCGATGACGCTAGCTTGGACAAGAGCACCGAGGAGCGAGTCGAGAAGTGTTCCACCAAAACCGGCAGCTGTCAAAGCAAGTGTATATGCAGTCTTCTGCGAGAAGCTCCAGTCTTTGCAGAAGGGCACAAGGAGTGTAGATGTGGCTGAGAGTATGAAAGCTCCGAGCAGCCCAGCACCAAGTCCAGTCGCTGTCACCCCTCCATTTGTACCAGGCGGAACGATGCGCCACGGAGCTGTTATAAGACGTGGCTTCGATTTTGATAGGATACCGAGTTCAGAGGAGAAAGTGTCTGCGGCGACTGCGGCGTAGTTACTAGAGTATGTTAGCAATATGCGGGAACATGGAGGGCATTCGCTTACGCTACGATACCTATCACCAGCGCGTCGCTGCCTCTATGCCAACATAGACCCTGGTCACCATATCTCCCTTCTTTCCTTAGCTGCCAGAGGTGCAGCAATATTAGCACCGAGGCTACGCCGGAGTTCGCAATAACTTGAACATGGTTGCGAGTGCCTTCTCCACCAGATGCACCTGTCGCTGACTGTGTCAATTTCGCTTTGATATCATGCTTGACCTGTCCTTGTGTTAGACGTCTTCTGCAGGACTCTTCGAAAAAGCATACCTTCGTTACGGTACTGCCAGCCAAGAAGAAGACTGCAAGAAGAGCAAAGAATACACTCCACGGATGTAACGCGTGTACACCTGCTGTCGCGAACGCTGCAAGAAGTCCGATTGGGGTCAGTGACTTTCGCGAGTACGCTCTGTATACGAGCGCAGCAGTAGCTGGAACCGCTATAACGGGTCTCATGCTTGGACGTGTTGGACTTGGTGTAGGGCGGCACGGAGGTGTGGCTCGAGATGGTGACCCTTCCCGAGATCGATTGATGTTGCGTCATGCATGGCCAAGCGTCCACAGATCTATCATAGGCTGAGACCCACCCAGGCATCGCCATCATCAACCTCACAACCCGTGAAACTTACGATCATCTACATGTAACTACTCGGACACAGAAAGCTCTGTCTTTCTTCTAGATTCCTTGTAGTAATCTGAACAGTGGTTCGAAGGCGCACAAACATTGTCGTCACGCACCCTACCCTCAGTGGTGTGCCAGATCCGTTCCACCATCATTAAGTTCCTTGCCAAAGCCGTTAAGATCTATATAAACCTTACATTTCCTGGTAGTTTCCTAAGAGGTTCCGCAACACGTATGAATTAACTCCACCACTTCCGATCCGAGGCAACTTGCCAGGAGTCTTCGAACGTTGATTTATACGGAGTCACAAAAACATCTTCGACAGCCTTGGTGATCAAGACTACTCTCAAATCTTGCATTTGTTGAGCTCGCAGTCAATGATCAGCTGAAAACAATTCGAGTTCTCGGGCACAGGTACGTCTTCACGATGTTTGGCCTGGCAAGCGCGCAACGAAATCAATAGCTCTACTACGAGGTCTCGCAATGCTCTGGGGGGATGATAAAAGTTCAGAAGTTCCAATTACGATCACAAAGACCAAGTGCCAGCAGATATGAGCTCAACGAACGGGAGTGGAATGCTGTTAGCGAAAGCTTGGGAAAGCTTGACCATTGTCAAATTTGCTTAAGCTCATCGTGCGACGGGTGACACCTGCTGCGTGCGCCTAACAGGCGTCCAACGAGGCTGTGTCTTGTACCAATCGCGACTCGGCCCAGGTCCGGCAATAAGAGTCCATCTGCAAGAAATGCTGCGATTGGTCCGCGAGGGTGACCCAACTAGGAATAGTCGAATCTCTCTCAACGCTTGGTCACACCCAGAGCATTCATGGCTAAGATCCCGTGTAAGGCCCACAGTGTGCACTAGATTAGCTACACGAGGCTTTCAACACCCTTGAATTCGGTTCATAGCCACACATGTCCCTTGGCTGTGCATCGTCCTATTTGGGTGAGCTGTCCGCATCTGCAAATACAGCACAAGATATAAGGCGTCACTGTCTGGAACGATGGAGGAACTCAAATCACCCGCTTTCATTCTGTCTGCACTCGTCTTTCCACTGTCTTTTTCCGATTCTCAAACATGGCGATATATCTCTTCAAACTTGTCCGGAGAAAGCTTAGGGAACGCGAAGCCAAAAAGGCCATCCCAACTACAGATGACTCCCACCTAGTACCTGAGCCTGCCTCAGGACAAGAGCTTCAAGATTACCCGAATAGACATAGCCATGGACTATCTCAAGACTCAACAGGAAGCCACATCAATTTCCTTACACCTGAAGAGGCAGCACAGCAAAAGATAGAAGCTCGCCGAAGAAGGACGCGGCAGTTGAAGTTGATGCTAGGACTTGTGTTACCCAACTTCCTGGCTGCGATGGACGTGACTATCGTTGCTCCGGCTATTCCACTTATATCATCTCACTTCGGTACGTCGTTCCCGTCCGTCCCCTCAGCCGCAAATACCTACGTGCTAACATACGTCCTTAGACCAGCTGTCCGGAAGCTTCAACTGGATTGTAGCAGCTTACACACTCACATTCACCACATTTATTCCTGCATCAGGCCAACTAGCTGATATCTACGGTCGCCACTTCGCGCTTCAGTTCGAGATGTTTTGGATCATGATAGGGAGTGTGATCTGTGCTACCGCCCAGTCTTGGAGCATGTTGCTTGCAGGCCGTGCGTTGCAAGGCTTAGGCGCTGCTGGCATTGTGAGTTTGAGTCGTATCATTGTGTCTGACGGATCAACACTGGCGGAGAATTCGAGAAGTACCTCAGTCCTATCATTGATCATGGGATGCAGGTAAGTTCTCACTCGATTCGACTGAGGAACTTGTACTGATCATGTTGAACTAGTTATGCTGTCGGCCCAGTCATCGGTGGCTACCTTGCAGATGCGAGTTGGCGATACATATTCGTCCTCCCAATCGGCGTCGCAGTGATTGCCATGGTCATCATCTTCTTCGTCATGCGCAAGGAGCTCGCTCAAGGACGTGCCACAACCGCACCAGGCGAATCGCGCCGTTTGGGCTATATCTCCGGTCTCGCCATCATCGACTGGCCCGGCCTAATCATGTTCATCTTTGGAGTAGGCTGCGTAATCCTCGCCATACAATGGGGCGGAACACAGTATTCCTGGAGCTCGGTCCCGGTCATTGTCTCTCTCATCGTCGGCATTGTCCTGTGCATTGCTTTCTTCATCTACGAGTACTTCCTAGGCCCTGGCCGGGCCATGGCCAGATTCTTTCCTCGTCAAGTTCCCATGATTCCCTCCACACTCTTCCGCAAGAAGGACACAACGCTGCTTATGATCATCAACTTCTCTGCTGGTATCTCCATGGTCTCCGCTTTCTACTTCCTGTCCTACTACTGGCAGCTTGCCGAGGGGTACTCATCCAGTCAAGCCGGTGTACAGCTCCTCTACTATACACCTGGCCTAGGTGTAGGTGTCTACGTTGCAGCCATGCTATGTAACCGTTGGCCAAGACAAACATTCTCTCCTTTGCTCATCGGTTCCATTGTTGAAGGGGCCGGTCTCGCACTCCTCACCTACTCGATATCCATCCGCCACATCACACTGGTGAAAGTGTTCCTCGCTGTATCAGGCGCAGGAACAGGATTACGCTTCATGCCCATTGCCCTTCACGCAGCAGGTATCTGGTCAACGCGTATTCCCAGCATGCAATCGCTGCTTTCCTTCATGGTGCCTCTGGGGGAGACAGTTGGTATTGCAATGATGGGATCGGTCTTTTCAAACAAGCTTTCCACTTTTCTGACGAGAATCAACCCTGGGAACGGTATCTCGTTACCTGCCACTGGCCCACCGAGCCTCGAGCTCTTGAACAGTCTTCCTGCAGCAGTCAAGACAGAAGTACAGAATGCGGCTGCCAAGGCAGTGATGTGGTCTTTGATCTCCGTGTTGCCTTTTGTTGCCGCAGCCATTGTTGCGTCCTGCTTTCTGGGCAATGTGTGGATCGGAAAATCGGCAACGAAGGGCAAAGAAGGAGAACCGGCACGCCCAGCGGAGATGGGCAAAGTCTTGTATGACTTTTACATGCTCGCACTCTGCACTGGAAGAGTTGCGGAGCAGAAGCAAGATCTGGATGTCAATATCTCAGATGAGGCGGCGAAGGGAAGAGGAGATTTACAAGAGGGCAATGCAAGCACGACAGCGTCAAATAAGAAACAGTATGCGGCTGTCGATAGCTCGGTGTAAGATATTGATAGACATAGACTGTATTTTATCTCCTACTAGACCTTTTTGAACGACTCTCAGTCACTACTCTTACTAGTCCTAGCAGATTCGCTCATGCGGCTCCCTCCAAGGTACACCTAGCACCTCGAAAATCTTTTTCTCACTCCTAGCCTCTACTAAGACACCCTCGTTCAGCTTCTCACCCCTTCTCCCTCGATGAACGTCCTTGTACAACCCCCTTTGATTCAACCTCATATTCTTCTTGCGTGCCAACAGTCGGATGCTGCGATTGAAAATGTCATTGCCAGTGAAGTATATCAGCGCAGCTCCCATTTCTTCTTCCGGTACAAGGAGAAAGTCCATCCTGCGCCAGACCTCTGAGGTCGGGAGACAAGAAGCTCCATGCCACTTTGACCCCGTAGGGTCGTTGGATCGAGAAGTCGCTAGGGATGCTTTCAAAAATCCAATCTTGTAGAGACGAGGGACTAGGACTTCGAATATCGTTGTCCGCATGGCGGCAAGCGAAGTACCGGGTTTTGTAAGTATCACATCGATATCGCCCGAGTCTTTTGCGCCTCGGCGATAGCTACCCATAATGGTAGCTTTGAATTTGGTATCGATCTTCTGCAATTCTTTGACGAGGATGGCGCCGTGTGCTTCCACCTCAGCGCGTGGTATCCTGGAGTTGAAGTCATCGTAATGCTCTACGCCGACTTTGTTGCTCTTGGTAAGCTTCGCTTTGATTCGAAGATCGTCGAGCGTACGATAACCCGCTTGGATCCATTTATTAGCCTGAACAAGTCCAGCGTCATAGACACCAAGAAACAATCGGAGAACTGAATCTAGAGGGTCATCTTGAGTACTTTCCAGTCTGCGAAGACGATCGGTGAGCACAATCTCTTCAATCTTGTCGGCCAGTCGCAAACCAATACCAGGAAGTGCTGCAGCTTGTTTCGCAGTGGTGATCTTGGTAGTCTGCTTCTTCAATGTAGTTATGCACTTGCGGTAGCTTATCGGCCGCCATGTGTCCTGCATCTGCTCGTAGTATTTGCACATCTGGTCCAAGATCTCAATGGTTCGGGCATTTGGATTCAGGGACGTATAGCCTTGAGCACCCGGATCCATACACTGGAATACGTTTTGGTTGAAGGGCTTCTTTTCACGTAGGGCCGATGCTTTCGAGATGAAATTAAACTTATTCGGTAGTTTGGGAGTCGTTGCCACGGGCTCTTCGTCTGTATCTGAGTCCTCCACATCCTCGATGCCGCTTGCTGCTGGAGACTCTGCATCCTCGTCCTCCTCCAGCGGCAAGTGTGCTGTGGCTTTGGCTTCTACTATAGCCCGAGAAAGATCATCGTCGAACTTATCGATAGCCTTTGGTTGCGTAGCTTTCTTGGGGCTCGAAGATAGCATGACAAAACTATCTCTAACAGTTTCGTCCAAAGAGCCAGTTGGAGCTGTATCTGCAATGATCTGGGTAGCAGGGACATCTTCTTTTTCTGGGTGTGAATCAGTATTCTGCAAGCATGCAGTCGTCTGTCGTGTTGACGATTTGACCTGTAGCGGCGTCTGCGAAGCGGCCGAAGCATTTGATTGCAGCGCCGGCTGTTTGAGTCCTCTGCTATTGGGCGCGCCTTTTGGAGCAAACCGTGGCCAGCTCGGGTCTTGGAGCCCTCGGAATTGTATACACTCCGGCACATATGGTTCGTACTTGACTAGTACAATATCCTTGGGGAGTCCTGGCATGTTCAAATGTTTCAACAAGCTCATGTATGTGTACTGGTCATCATCCACGATGACGTGTGTGATGTCTTCTCTCCATGTTTTGACCCAAGCGGCTCCAAGTTGTATTACTTTGTGTATACGACGTCTCCGAGTTGTGAGAATATCGTCGTTCGGTGGGTAGAAATATACGACTTTGCCCTTGAGATATTGTTTGTACTCAGGATCCAGCTGAATGTTGATCGCTGGTTTAGGGTTCCTCTTGTTCCCGCACTCTCGGGGAACATCACCTACTCGAATGTAGAACGGTGTAAGATCTATGTCAGCTGTCTCAGGTAAGGACAATACCCTTCTTAGCTTGATTTTAGGACCAGCAGATGTTGCCGTTGTCCTACCGCGTGGTTTCGTGGCTGGGGAGCCTCTGATACGTTCTGATTCGGGCGCCGTAGGTGAGCGCATCGGCTTATGGCCCGCCTGTCGCTCTGTCTCGCGTAGTTTCCTTGTATGCGCCTCGAACGCCTCTCTTGGTGTCAGTCCAAGAAAGCTACTTGTTTGTCTTGTGAGGGATGTGGGTCTTGTGGATCTCGATTCTCTTAGTGCTTGTTCGAGCTTATTCGCGCTGTTGTCCAGGGTGTCTTGTGCATCGTTGGACGTATCCATGAGTTCGTGTTCTTTGAAGTAGGCTTCCTTGGCTGCAAGCTCGGAGTCTGGCATTGTAGAGGATTCTGTAGTTCAGTGGTCGAGTCTTTGCGACTACAGTGATGTTGACTCAATCTGGGTCGTTAGTGACAACGGCACGGCTCCATTTGAAGTCGTTCAATGTTGAGCGTGATGGGTGCGAGGTGGTCAAGAGCGACAACTGCGAAGATCTATTTGCCCAATATAGAACCCTGTATATTGATCGCAGGCACCGTTCGTCATACTTGCGGTTACCTGGCAATATGCAGGTGAAAGAGTCGTGGAATATGACCGAGGCAGCAGCGCGTACAGGGATGTCAGTTGACGCGAAAGCACGTGGCACTTTGGCCGCATTGATACTAGCTCGAGGCTTGCTCTCGTCATTTCTCGAGTTTGGCGGGACACAGATATTCCCCATCCAAAATGCTGCAACCACGGATAATAACGCCATTGCGACGCACGTTCCTTGATGTCTCGTCGATCTGCGTAAGGTGTCAGGGTCGACTTGCAATATCCTCAATTGCAAGGCAACCATCCACTCGACTATTCACCTCGATACATACTCTGCGCCAGCAAGAAACAGCCCCCAAGCCCACCCCCGGCTCACCCGCTCCCGACCCCAAAGATGAAGACATATTCATCCCGAAGCCTCTCGGCCGCCCCATCGGTTTCAGCAGACCTCCGCAACCGGGCGAAAACACTAGCAACCCCAAGACCAAAAAAGATTACTCCGGCATGAGTATGTCGCAACGGAACCTCGAGAAGCGCAAAGACCTTGTGGAGAAGTGGGGCACGAACTACTTCCGTGACTTTAAGAATATCCGCAAGTACAGATCAGGAAAGACATTCATGGCAAACCCGAGAATCTTCAAGAAAGATGCTGCGCTGTACTTTCCCAACTTTCACGGAGATACACTGGAGGGAAAGGACAAGGACACTACAGACGTGCTCAACGGCAAGATTAGTGTTGTGAATGTGTTTAGTTCAGATTGGGGAGTACGCCAGGTGGACACATTCACAGGAAAGCAAACGAATGCTGGGCTGCACGATATTCTTGCACAAAACCCGGGCGTTGCGCAGATGGTGGATATCAATATCGAAGAGAACAGCATGAAAGCAATGATCATATCTTTGTTCCAGTGGCGCTTGAAGGCCTCTAAAGCAAAGGAGGATTGGGGAAAGTACTTTATTGTAAAGAGAGGTGTTAGTGAGAGGACAAGGGAGACTATCGGGTTATTAAACGGCAGAGTCGGCTATGTCTATCTCGTAGACCAAGACTGCAAGATTCGATGGGCGGGTAGCGGGGACGCGGAAGGGACAGAGATGGAGGACATGAACCGGGGTTTTGCGAAGATGGTCTCTGAAGCCCGATAGTGCTTTCTGCAACGCCTATATTGGGGAGGTATAATGACGACATGTAACGATATCTTGTACAGCATACGGAAGACTCCAATTCCCACGATACCCGAAATCTCTGGAAACATAACTGTAATCATACAGGCCCAAGACGCCTTGCGCATAGCATGCTAATGAAAGTCATGAGGATATCCAGCCCGCTTGAACGCCCAAAATGAAGATGTGCAACTCCAGCCTACCTGAACCATAGCAGCATCAAGAAGCAGAACGCGATGAAGCTACCCAGTATGATGCCGTCTCTGCGCTTCTTTGTCCCAATCCTTCCAATTAAACTGTTGATGCCTGGCACTTGACTTGCTGCGCCCACGATTCTCCGGTTGATGCTTGTCAACGTTTCCCTTTGCAGGCTGAAGTTCTCTTGCACAGCGTATGCCTGGCTGAGAACCGAGTCGGCCACGTTGTGCGAGTTGTCGATGCGATTTCTCTCGTCAAGCATGTAGTCAGCCTCCGCCTGCTCTGGGTTCGCAGACCGGTATGCATCGATGTCCGATCGTACATTGGAGAGGAGGTTTGCTCGATTACGGGCATCATTGAGGGTGGCCTTTAAGCGCGCGAGCTCGCGACGGTGATCTGAAAGTACTTCGCGATGTCTGGCAAGATTGTTCTGCTTCACAGCCGAGGAGCCGTGTGCCGATTCGGAGTCGAGGAGCCGTGACAGCTGGCCGACAAGTCCATCTCTTTGCTCAAGAATCTCCTGTAGCCTAGTCTCGACGCGCAACTCTTCTTCTGAGGGCTTTGCGGGGATGTTTGGCGTCGAACCGAACTGCGAGTATGTGTGGAACAGCGTCTCTGTCTACCATGCCTTGTTAGCAGGGCTGCAGCGAAAGCCGACCAAGTCCGTCGCAGCAGTGAATAAAACCCACTTGTTGTTCAAGAGTGCGCGCTTGCTGACGCAGTTGCGCCCATCCACCTCCAGTAGAAGACATTTCGAGCAGTATGGTATCTTTACAGGCAGAGGCGGCAACAATGGACCTTGGACTTCTGGCATGATGAGGGTCGCACCTGCCCTGGCGCGGGCTACGCAATGCACGGCCAAGGCGCTAGTCCATCGTAGGGATAGTGCGAATAGTTTAGCGGCCACAGTCGAATTCGACCTGTGGACAACACCAAAAGTATTTCGTTGACGACACGCGAGACCCCATCCACATCACCCGGTCCTACTAACACACAGTCAAAATGGTATGTCTATGCTCTCAATTATCTGTTCAGCACGAGAAATGCGTCGCGCAGTCCTGGACCGCCGACAGTGGAGGGGTCAGGCTGTTGCACCCTCCGCTAGTGGTGCTGCGCAGGATTTGAGATTTCACGATTGAGAGAACATGTGCTGACTTGATGCCTCCAGTCTACTCCCAAGGTCGTACGTACACCCTCGCTCGCGCAAACACCACCGTCCGATTTCGTGCTCACAACCACCGCAGAAGACCGCCCAGCTGTGGAACAAGTCCAAGGATGAGCTCGCGTCCCAGCTCACCGACCTCAAGTCGTATGTCGCCGAACACGGAACACTGGCAGGGAAGACGGAATGCTGACGGATGTAAAGGGAGTTGATCCAGCTCAGGACCGCCAAGGTCACCGGTGGCTCCAACACCAAGCTCACCCGCATTCATGACGTCCGCAAGGGAATCGCCAAGGTCCTTACTGTCATCAACGCCAACCAGAGGGCTCAGCTCAGGCTCTTCTACAAGGGCAAGAAGTGCGTTTAGGCCGACTTGGAAGCTCCAGGACAAGTTTCTAACATTGCCTAGGTACACTCCTCTTGACCTCCGCCCCAAGCAGACCCGCGCCATCCGCCGAAGACTCACCAAGCACGAGGCTTCGCTCGTCACTGAGAAGCAGAAGAAGAGGAACACACACTTCCCCCAGCGAAAGTACGCCGTCAAGGCATAAGCGTGCTTTCGTGAAGGTGTTTCCTCTTTTCTTCCTTTGTCTCTCATGAAGCATTGCATTGCCGGGGCTTTTCCAGCTAGCGACTCACCAGTGTACCCTTAGTACCATACTCCAACGGGGCCAGGAAGGTGGGATAGCAGATGGGAATGGACGGACAGGGCGATCTTTAACGGAAATGGGTTGGCGTCCATGTCAAGATCTATGAATAAAAAGTTCAGACAAGCACGGAATGATACCTCATGATTTGTGAAAGGAATCTACCTTGTTTCCACGATTCCATGAGCAACGTCCGATGCGCCTGAAGTACGAATTATGACCTACTGAAAGCATGCAACCTGGGTAATGTAGCCCTTACGAATTGACCAATTTTGCTAGCGCTAGGTTACTGTTTTTCTAATGCGCTGGCTATGCATTTAGTCTTTGCCGTATTGGTGGATATATGCGATACCTCTATTGACAGAACTTTTGCGCTTAAACTAAGAGGACAATGCTCGCCTGTCAGACATACATATCAACCACATTCATCAGCCAACAATCTCAATCACAACACCTTCTCATACGACACAAGACCTCTCCACACTCTTGTACTCTTCAAGAAGCTGCCTCCCACTCCTTGTACAGACTCAGCTCTTCCTCTTTAACGCCCACCATTTCTTCCCTTACGCCTATAACACCGACCCTGCCAATTGCCTCTGGGTCTTTGTACTCCGCAAGAGAAGTCTTGAGCGATTCGATGATGGCCTCTTTGTCCTCCACAAGTAAGACAATAGCATCGAAACCACCAGCGCCGGGTACGATGCCGCCAACAACACCGTCCAGTTTCGAGCAATAGTCTAGCAGACGTGTTTGCTGAGGCGGCTCAATAGGCACACCTGACTTCTCGCCCATGTCGCGAATCAAAGCGCGGTTGCCATCGATGATCTTCCTCAGGGTGTCATGTTTCGATGCATTGTCGCCTTGTACCTCTGTCGCAAGACGCGTAAGCTCAGCAGCTAGGGCCTCATTGCCGCGTTGTAGCTCTTTCCAGATCTTCTCCGCTTCTTCTGGTTTCTGTGCTCTCCAGGCGAGGACTTTTTTGACCATACCCGGTGTTTCACTTCCGCAATCGACGTCGCACATGACCAGTCGCAGACCCTCGGGCATCTTAATAGCAGCTTTCTGTATCTCAGTGTCCCATGTCGGCCCTTCGACTAAGGAACGCAACTGTGTTGCGAAACCCGGACTGCTAGGCTGAGGTAGGTTACCCAGGAGGGACGGCGAGAAACGCTTGTATAGGCATGATCCGAAGACGGCAGAGGCGATGTCAAAACCGCTTCCGACTTTGCCTTGAGCATGCGAGTGAGAGGCTTGAGCAAGATTGTGGAGGATAGTTTGGCCCTTTTCTGTTCGTACGTCGAACAGGTCTTTTGGAAGGTAGAATCCTAGTACTGCTGCCGTAAAACTTGTGACCAGTGCTGCGCTACTTCCCAATCCCGTCTTATGCGCCTCCTTCAAGCTCACGTTGAAGTCCTGGAAACGAGAAACTTTGTGCGGCTGGGAGATTTGGTTGGAGCTACGGGTGACGCCTGGGTTGGAGTAATAAGCTTGATCAGCTAGAATGCGGATGCTGGAGGGTTGGATGAGAGTCTTTGGGAGGAGGGCGTGGATATATGTTAATGCATATGTCAGAGCGGTTTCTATGAATGGGTTGCGGGATCTGGCGATAGATTGCTCATGGCCGCTAAGATAGTGGTTAGTCGTTTCTTATCTACCGGATTGAAGAGGATTATTTCGATGGCCATCACCGGGTGGTATCTGCTATAGCAGTAGACAGTTTTGCATAGTGATGCAACAGAGAAAGTGAATCAGAAGACGCCAGAGCACGATTGAAGTAGAAAAAGGGCACACGACCAAAGCTTCAGTCGAGTATTGATACAGGCGCCTGTAATCGCAGGCACAGTCATGATTGTAGCCTTGTCCGGCAACAGCTATTGACAGAGGATGTGGTTGCAGGCTCATGAAAAGCGCATTGCCCAATTAGGTAGAGATGCAAGGAGGCATGTTGAGGATATGCCGAGAAAAAAGAAAAGAAAAGAGAGCCAATGAAACAAAGTGACAACACGCTTGAAGAATATGTCTGATGAAGTGAGGGATGCACTTACACGCTCAATTGTGTGATTGTGATGCCTCCATCTTCACTCTGTGACCGGTATCCATACTCCCAGATTGCCTCACGGAACTGAGGACTTGTCACAAGGATCTCATTGATCGTCACACCGGATCTCGTTTTGATAGGTTCGACAACGGTGTGAATCCTCGCGTCTAAACCGAATACCAGGCCTGTATATTCCCGGTCAAGTACGAGGTAGCCACCCGCAACTAGTACCTTTGCCGGACAAGAAACGGCCTTCGGGCTCAACGGCGCGTCCGATGAGGACATGCTGGAAGTGGAGCAGTTGGTGGGATAGGATGTAGCGGAACCTGGATTAGTTGGATTGATAATTTGATAGCAGGCAGCAATATTCGCGCAATGTTGGTTGGAGGGAGCTGATGATGGTGGTCCTGCGGGGGTGTGCAGCGTAACTAAGAACTGCAGGCGCTGTGGGTCGCTGAGCTTCTGCCACGAACTTCTTGCAGCTGCAATCTATACACCGTTTCTTCCAGGACACCAACCACAGCCAGAATTATGATGGACATCACGATGATAAGTCAATCACATGCGCAGATACACTGCGCCGCAATTCACATGCAGCTTTCGCCTCCGTCGGGCACGCCAATCGATCCTCTGGGACCGGACCTACGGATTTAAGCCATCAGCTGCTAGTCAAAACCTGCAGCAGGCCAGATCCATGCGGGGTGCAGCCGTGTTCTTCTCGTCGTTCTGTCTGACTCATCCGGCCTTCGATGGGCGTCCTGGACGGCACGGTGTCAGAATCGTACCGGTACCGACGTTTCCAGGGCTGCGAGAGAAAGCGAGAGTCGCCCATTGGATCGCGAGCTCGGGGTGTTTGCTTCCTCTCCGGCAGGACACGTCGTCCGGGCTGCGCGCGTGTGAACGCTTGCCTAAACGCGGTTCAGCGCAGCGCGATAATTTTTCGGCAATTTAGCGTCCATCGCATCGGTCCTACCATTCATGACGACTACGAAACTATGCGCTCGAAGCTTCCTTTTGACTCCCGCTAACCAACTTGCCTTCGAGGCTGACAATATCTCTCTCCAGGCCGCAGCGTGCCTTACTTTTTCTCAGTCATATTCCCCTTCTCCTTGTAATACAATTGCGACTTCTTCCAAGTATCCGACTGGGCTTGGGGCAATAACACAAGGTTTCCTAACCACCCTCGAAATTCCCCACCACACGCATTCCTTACACCCGTAAAGCGCGTTTGTTTGACGGTCATCGTCAAATGAACCTGCACCGACGCGTAGGGATCTCGAGAATAGTAGGTGACCTCCGCTTCGACTATCAACAATCGCTTCTACCATTGTGTTTCGTGCACGCGAGCCACAAAGTTGTTGCCTAACATCAAAATTGGTCGCGGGCCGATATCCGAGTCGCCTGAAGCATCGCGATCGTCAAATCACGCTGGGAGAACGTGTGCTAACTACCAACAGTCTCACCCTTTCCATCTGGAGGGCTCCTCAAATTCCTAAATGGTGTTTAAGAGTTTCCATCTCGCGCGCCAGAGTCTTGCCAAGGGCTTTACTCACGGTTATGCTCAATCAGTAGTTGCTGGTGTTAGCCAGAACAATCCCCTCGCCTCCCTTCAACACGACCGCTTCCGCAAAGGACTCAAAAATCAACATGCCTTTACCTCCACATCGTCTACCACGAGCGCGCTCAAGGCGCTCGCCGCCGGACAACACGACCACCAGGACTCGGGTCTAGCCGCATACTACACAGCATGGCAGAAACACCAGCAAAAGACCGAGGACAAGGAGTGGTCGCAGTTCCAGTTCCGCAAGCTCATCGAATGGGACCCGACCTCCTCCAAGGCCGCAGCTGAGGCCAAGGAGAGCAGTGTTGCGATTGAAGAAGTGGCAGAACCGGTTCCGGTTCATGCCGGTGTCAACCGCGCATACAGTACCAGCCAAGTGGAGGATTTCAAAAAGGCTGTTGGTGGTGAAGAGGCGGAGAGAATTGCGCTGGCACAAGTGGATGAGGCCATCGCACAAGAGGTGGCAAGACACAAGGCCGATAACGAAGTTGTGCAGGCCATTCAGGAAGAACTATCGCCGATTGAAGAGTCACGGTCAGAGTCTCCCGCAACCGTCGCGGACACTCTTGTGAATTCGACGATTTTGAGCCGTACCGAATCAACCATCGCCACCAGCCCGATTGAAGCGCATGATGAGTACACCGTACAACTGCAGAAGCTGGCCATCAACCGTAATTATGCCGAAGTACCCGCTGTCTTCGAGGCTATGCTTCGCTCAGATGTCAAGCCATCAGCCACTGCATACAACGCTTTGCTATCCGCTGCGATCCACCTTCCCCGTGCTCAGCATCAGGTGGTCCCCAAGGCTTTGGACGTCTACTCGGACATGCTGCGCCGACGGGTTGTTCCTGACACCGCTACTTACACCACTCTGATTGAACTCCTTTCCGTTCGTTCTCTGGAAGTTGTGTCTCAGAGGCAGAGCTTTGAGGACAGGCGACTACGATATGGTGGTATGGAAGAGGAGGGCAGCTTCATGCTCCAATCTCACGAGACCGATTATGCTATCTTGGCCGAAGATGGGTCGCTCTCAGTCGCTATCAAGCTGTTCGATGCCGCTGTCCATGTAGAGGCAAACCGAACGTTCTCTGAGAAGACCTACCGATTGCTCGTCACCGCTTGCGCGGAAAGTGATCGTGTAGAGGACATGGTTCGGATCTACTCCCACATGGAATCTCACAGCGTAACCCCGGCCGCCGACATGTTTGTTCCAATGATCCAGGCTTTTGGTAAATCTGGTGATCTGAAGAGTGCAGTCGAGTGCTACGACGAATACAAGGCCCTGGCAATCTCAAACGACAATGGTGAGATTGAAATCACTAGGAAGGACAACGACGTTTACGCAGCTCTTGTGAAGGCTTACACTGTCTGTGGCCGCGCTGAGGGAGCTGAGAAGTTCCTGTCCAAGATCGAGAGTGCACTTTCTTCTCCAGAAGATGTCACCTCTGTTCGCGACATTGTTGGCCTCAAGGGTTTCCTTCCTGAATGGTTAAAGAACGGTTCTTTCGATCAGGCCTATGTACATGCAGTCGAGCACCTCAGCCCGCAAGCCCGCCAGATCGCTATGGCTGCTATCTGCATCAAGGCTGCTGATCGCGATTCAGTCGAGATTGCTACTCAGGCTTTCGACGATCTTGAAGCCGAGGTCGACCTGTCACGACCAGCCATGGCGATGGGTGCAATGCACATTCGCACTGGAAACATTGAAGCTGCAGAGGTGTTCTGGAGAATGCTCGAGCTCTCTCCTACCAAGGCTGACTTCATTGAGCCTACTGCCATGCACAGCATCGCGTTGATCGGCAGTGGACATGCGGAGCGTGGTCTCCGTCAAGGTCGTCAAATGTTCGCTCGCATACGGGACTCTCAGTCTGGCTCTACACAAGCTAAGATGGAGATCGTAGAGCACATTGACGAGGCTATCGAGGTTATGGGTCAGTTCATGATGAAGCGTGGTATCTTCCTCCCGCCGCGGGCTAGCATGGAACTGATGTGGACGATGATTGAAAACGGCGGCCTAGTCACCCCAGTTGCTCACCACCTACTTGCTGGAATGGGACCTGAGGCCGTTGTTCAACTCAACTTCGACGACATCACGCTCCTAATGCAAGTTCAATCTGGAATTCTACTCCAGGAGGCCGAAGTCGATGTTGCTCACGTTGCACGATTTGCCCATCTTCTCGAAGTCATCGCTGCAACTGGCACGCCGGTCAACAAAACCACTTCTGGTCTTGTTGAACAAGTGCTTACCAAGCTCGACAGGGGCGATCTCCAGCATCGATGGTACGCCTACAAGCATCCCGCTCCGGATGCCTTGTACTCCCCAGCACCTTTCGCTGCCTATCCTGTTCAAGCCCCGATTGCCCCTGCAGCTCCCACTTTCGAGGATCAATATGACCCTTACGCTGCATCCACCGACAACAAGGGCTCCGTTGCCATCACTGAACTACTGGAGAAGACCCATGGACGATCATCGTCTCACCTCAACGAGGCTTTGATGAAGTTCAGGAACATGCGCCGAGCTGGCCGCCACCCTCGGTTCTTCACATATGCTAAGCTCATCACTGCCGCTGCTAAAGAAGACCGCCTGACTCTGGCTCATGATATCCTAAACCTTGCCAAACAGGATGTCCCTCTCCTGCCTCAGTACCGCATTGTGCGATACGGCTGGGTTACCATCTTGGACGCTATGGTCGCTGCTTGCCTTACTTGCAACCAGCGTGATCTCGCAGGGAGATACCACCAGGATCTGCTTGAGATGGGTGCCGCCCCGACTGCCAACACCTTTGGTCTCTACATCACTACGCTCAAGGAGTCCACTAAGACTTTCGATGAGGCGACCGAGGCAGTCAAAATCTTCCTTCGTGCTAAGTCTGAGGGTGTTGAGCCTTCTTCCTTCTTGTACAATGCTCTCATTGGCAAACTCGGAAAGGCACGACGCATCGACGACTGCCTCTTCTATTTCTCAGAGATGCGCAACCTCGGCATCCGCCCTACTTCTGTTACCTACGGCACCATTGTCAACGCTCTTTGCCGTGTCAGTGACGAGAAGTTCGCTGAGGAATTGTTTGAAGAGATGGAGAGCATGCCCAACTACAAGCCCCGTCCTGCTCCTTACCACAGCATGATGCAGTTCTTCTTGACGACCAAGCGTGATCGCAGCAAGGTCCTCAGCTATTACGAGCGTATGCGTGCTAAGCGCATCGAGCCTACCACCCACACGTACAAGCTTCTCATTGATACCTACGCTACGCTTGAGCCTGTCGATATGGAGGCTGCCGAGAAGGTTCTTGAGCAAGTCAAGGCCGCCGGTGCTGTCCCAGAAGCTGTCCACTATTCCTCGTTGATACATGCCAAGGGTTGCGTCATGCACGACATGGAGGGTGCCCGTCGTCTTTTCGACACTGTCCTTGCCGACAGCCGTGTTCGTCCTCAGGCCTGCCTCTACCAAGCACTCTTCGAGGCCATGGTTGCCAACCATCAGATTGCTAATACTGAGGATGTTCTCCGCGACATGCGTGCTCGTGGCGTTGAGATGACTCCTTACATTGCCAACTCTCTCATCCATGGATGGGCTCTTGCTCACAATATAGAGAAGGCTAAGACCATCTACGAATCTGTCTCCGAGAGCAGGCGTGAGCCCAGCACTTACGAGGCCATGACTCGTGCCTACATGGCCGTCGAGGACCGCGCAGCTGCTATGACAGTTGTCAACGAGGGTCTGTCTCGTGGCTACCCTGCTGCCGTCGCTGGCAAGATCCTCGAGCTTGTTGGTGGTGGTCGTGCACCCGCTACTGAGGTCGCTGCTTGAGCGATCAACCTCAGCTTCTCTTCTATTCTCAGATTTACTGCCTTTTGGCATTTCGATCGTACACTTTTTTACTCGATTTACTGCGACGGCCGAACAAAAAGAATTTCTCAAAACAGCCCCCGCGCCGCCTGGAGGGTAATACTTCTAGTGGCGTGGCTGGGCATCAATATTTTATCCCTAAAGTCGCTTCTACGTTTTTCAGCGACGGCGTTTTTATCTAGGGTCTCCTTTCTTCCAGCGAAACGAAACGATATCCCGCAATCAGCGATGGAGCTGGTAGGCTGGGTGGGTCTGGCGTCTGTGTAATGGCAGGTGGTTAGGCTCAGTTGGGCTGCCTGGTCTGGAAGTTGGTTGGTTGGGATGTGGGGCGATCATCTCTCGTACTGCATCTCGTCATGGCATGGTGTTATCTCTGGTGGTCATTGCATCTGCGCGGTCGTTAAATATGGTTTCGCTGTACAATACCCTGGATTATACCATCTCCTCTCTAGACAAAGGTTCGGATTCTGGTGGGCGGCGCGGTATTTCAGTATCATTTAGGTAGATAAGTAGTCAGACGGAACGGTCACACGTTTGCGTTAGAAATGAAGCGAAGTGAAACTGTAATAATAAAGTTGTTCGGTCGCTCTGTGATTTATGGAATTCGTGAACGTTTATAAGTCTTCTCGAATGCGACGAGAGATTGTCTGGAAGCAGTATTACCTGTCCATAGGCATATTCTGTAACATTTGATAGAGGGATACTCGAATGATTCTCGACTCTGACAACCAAACACGGCACGTTGAAAGTAGAATCGATATAAAAGACATGGTTCAGTGTCTGATCGGAGCGAATGCTCGAAAAAATGCATGTTACGCTATTATCGCAGACTACTGCTAGGCAACAATAAAGTCTAAGCGAGGCTTACTCCCCCAACGCCATGCTCATGCATGATGAACCACCTCATGGATGGTCACCAATGTCGTGAATCGTGAAAATGTAACGCGTGCTGGTATATACAAAGATCCTTCTCTCGCTTCTCGCCTATTATACGCTCCCTTTGCTCATTCAACTGCTCAGTTGTAGTTTCTCGTCTCAGTCGCTTGGTCAGCTTCTCGTGCTAGGCGGTTCTCGTTGGCGGCTTGCTGCAGAGTCTGGTTGTTCGTTTGGCGTTTCTGTGCATCGAGCTTCTTCTGGAGGTCGCCTGATGAAGCCTTGTTCGCGCGGGCCTGAGAGCTATGTCAGCGATTGTGGTCAAGAGTCGCGCGGCCCTTTCTCTGCTCTTGCTCCATCAGATGTGAAGGTTATAGGTACGTACCTCTGCAGCAGCCGCAGCCGCAGCTTTCGGATCATCTTGCCTGTTGCTATCTCCTAGCGTTCGTGGTGGTCCACCGACCTTTGGCTTTGGTGGTGCAACATTGTTCGGAATAGATGCTCTGGTCGCAGGCGTAGGCGCAGATTCAAGTGTGCGCCCATTGCCTGCGAAGTTGTCTTTTGACTGTTTGCCGCAGAGATTACCCATCTGTAGCTCTGGAGCTGAAGCTATAGGGAGTTGGGACGAAGGAAGTTTGGCGACGACGGTTGTAGTGATAGCTACTGTGGCTGTGCGGAGGTAGGGTCCAGGTTCAAAGTGCAAGGGAAGGGTGCGGACAAGACGTCAGCCTCGTGGCGGGGAAGGTGCATTGCGACGCGTGGGATTGGCGCCAAGTACCCGTCTCTCGGATACCGGCTACGGCATCTTCAGGCAGGGTGCAACTGTGCGTCAAACACTGCAGCTTTTTAGCTTCTCTGATATCTTCTCTACAATCCCGTCGCGTTTGTGACGGCTACACATGACGATGACCACCAAACGTCAAGCACTCCGTAGGTGGGTACACTAGAGCGGTAGCGCAATGAGTTCTTCCGTATCCCGTGGATGGAGGCTTCTTTGGCCGATTGCACACAACGACGCCGGTGTATGAGTGGCCGCACGTACGCCGATACAAGTCGGAATACTACCAGACATTAACAACAACGCCTCGCAGTCATTCATAGCCTTGTTGTCTGTATCCGGGGACGCCAGGATTCGGAACAAGGACGATACACATGACAGCCGTGACTTGGAGCGAAAGGCCAATCAAGGAGCAGGAGTTGGACATACGCTTTTACGCATTTGGTTAGGCTCCATTCACTCTTCTCAAGCGCATACCTTCACCTTCTCAGCCAGTTCGTTCCTTTCACTCGTGGTTGATGTTGTAGAGTTGTCAGGGTAGACCCCTCAAAGGCATGATTGATTGTATGTTTTTCTTTTCACTCACCCCTCGCACCTTACCTGGCATTCTGATTACGCCATCGTGCTTTCCCACGTCTGAGAACCGTGATGGCCTCCGCCTTGACTTTTCGATATCGTCAGGAACACACGCTCTGAAACTCTCAAAGCACGCAAAAATGGCTAATAACTGTGCAGATTGCGATCGCGATTCAGCTTTTGGAGACGACGACGACTTCTGGACTACAAATCCGATGTTTTCTTTGGGCGCACCAGTGACTGGGACCAAGCGTGCTGCAGACAATCTGAAAGATGACGCCGCACGAACCCGGGGCCAATCAACCCCGTCTCAGCTTGAACATGGTACTCAACCCGTTGATCCAAGCTTGTGTTGCACTCGCTGCCCAGAAACATGCGACGTGCGTTCAACTAAGCGGAGGGCCTCCGCCCTAAAGGTGGCCGAGTATCACGAACTCACCACCGAATCACACACCGGTCTTGATACGGATTGTTCTTTTCCAGATGACTGCTTCGAGAAATTCTGTCAGGAATGCAATCTGGAGCCATCCTGTCCACCAGCCCCTTGCCCTGACGACAACTGTCCCGATGTCTGCCCCGCAGACTGCCCCGAAGACGACGCTTGTTTCGACCCACGGTGTACTCAGAAAGATGAACATTGTACAGACGACTGTATAGATCCCCAGTGTACAAAGATCGCTTGTCCAGATCAGGTATGCTGCTGTCAGAAGTGCAACGCTCAACCCTTCGCTCTGCCTGGCACGCAGCACGAGTGTCACTTCGCTCATTCCGCTCCTACCTCCGTCGGTACTGTGTACTGTTACGACTCTGCGCCTTGCCATTTTCAAGAAGGCTTTCATGGACAAGATGATGGGTTGTCTTCGTTTGAGACATATCCTTGCTTCTCCCAAACTCACGGGTACAATACCATCGCGGATGACCTGACCACGATAGCGTCAAGCGCTCCAACACCAGCTTTGTCGCACAGCAACTACACATCGCTAGAAAGTGCATTCACCACTGAGCCGTCACCGGGGCCTGGACAAACGATCTTCCCACCACACTGTTACCTCGACGTCGCCGGTGATCACTGTCACATCGATAACTCGTGTTGTCATGGATCTCAAAGAGCCTGTGGTGATGCCCCGTCTGCGTCGCAACAACAGCTTGAGCTTTGGAACTCTTCAATAGCACCAGGCAACGGTTTGGCGTCAAATTTTATGAACTTTGGCTTCAATCCAAGCCTACCAACGAGCCCTGTTTCAGCCGATCGTAACTCTCTACACTCGTCGAACCCGTTCAGCCTGAACTCTCCCATGATGGACTTTAACGACCAGACATTCCACGATCAGTCGTGGATGCTGACAGATTCGGCGTTCTCGAACACTTTTCAACCAGCAAGCTCATTCACTGGTGCAAACAAACTCGACTTCCTCGCTTCGGCGGTCCAGAGCGAGATCTTGCGGCCAAGCACATCGGATTTGACAGTTTCGAGCTCGGCTTCTGCCGCTAGAGCTCAAACTGAAGCTCAAGCGTGTATATGTAAATGGTACGTCGGTCTGGAGCAACCCTTTACTGCCAAGATCATCTCAATCTATGAAGCCTTTGCGATTGTATGAGGACTGTAAGCTAATTGACACCTCTCAGGCAACATGCACCCGGTGTCCTCTGCCTCGCCGTCTTCGACGCCCCCGAAGCCCTTCACAGACATATCAAGACCGGACACGTAGACAACTGCACACACTGCTTCTGTCAATGGGAAGGTTGCGAAGCACACTCTAAAGATTTCAAGCAGCGCTCTAAGCTGTCTCGTCACCTTCTTGGTCACGCGGGTTATCGCCCATATGCTTGCAGCTATGAGGGATGCGAGAAGACGTTTGCCACCAACCAAGCGAAGGACAACCACGAGAGAACACACACAGGCGAGAGGCCATATGTATGTGACCGTTGCGGTTACACAACAACGACACATACACAACTACAAACACACATCAGTGCGCTGCACGAGGGTAAGAAGCCGCATAAATGTCGATTCTGCGAGTTTACATGCGCCGACTCGAGTAATTTGAGCAAGCATGAGAGGACACACCAAGTAAGCATAGATTAACAACACTAGAACTACTTTTACTAACGATACCTACAGACGCTACGACCATACAGATGTCCCCACCCAAACTGCACATTCAAGCCCGACTGCCGCTGGGAGAACTTGAAGCGGCACTTGCGTCGTTCGAGCCACTGCCCACAACTCCTGGTAGAAACCAGCGAAGAGTACAAGTCCTACCGTGAAGGTGTACGGCGTGAGATCGACGACTGGCATAAGCGAAACGAAGATGGTGGCCTAGGAAAGGCCGGTAGGAGGAAGGGCAGAGCGTAGATGACACACTTCGGTGAACAGATGACACCGAAAGTGAGGCGTGGTGCCTTTGGGCAACTCTTTTGTGACGCGTTTATGAGAACGTCATGTTTGGACACGAATTTACGGATTGCCGACGAACACTCCCTTTAGGGTACTATCATGAACAGCATTAGGATAAGCATGATACCAGTATATATAACAATTATCTACCAACCATTATCTTGCTCAACTTCATGTTTGCCACAACGCCGCTCAAATATAGCGGCATAAGCCTGCGCTGTTAGTACTACCATACCAGCTACGTGAAGATCATACAACATGCGTGGGCTAGTGCATCCTCGGAAATTTGGAAGCGAAGAAACGGTTTGGAACCGGGATGACGGGGATTTATGCTATAGGTGTATGCCTGGTATAGTGACAGCGATGCGTGTTTCAGGGCAGACAAATTTAGACAGAGTACCGATATCTTGGATTTGAGAAAAGAAGGGGAAAGGGGTGTGGCGGCGCTTGAGTATTTCAGGATGAATAGATCTGAGGAATAAGCCGAGCCATTAAGGACGATGAGTCATGAATGTTGGTGTTCTAGTACTCTGGTGACAGGTCGAACTGAACTGTGGCAAGATGCTTGCCATGGTGAACACTGCACGTAGCACTCACTACCTGGAGGACTAAAGTCATATATTCCGTAGTTTCCATTGCCGTACCTAGTTATTCAAACGCAAGCAACCATCTCCACCAACTCCATCTCTCTCCTCACTATCCAAACAGCAAAGCCGCCATCCGACTCAACAAAACCCCCTTCTACTCAACAGGCGGGATATCGTAGAAATGTAATCAAGATAGAGCATTAACCTTTTTTCCTCGAGTAGCATGGAAGCAAGGTCATATATACAATATCACTTCCATCGCTCTCTCGCTCAAAAACAGTCAACAAGAAAGAAAAGGCTGCGTCGCATGGGTAATGCGGCGGGGTATAGAACAGACAAAGTCAATCAGCCGGAGGTATGTCAGGGTCGTGTGTACCAGGGTGTGTGCGTGTGGCGTGATTACTGGGACGTCGAAGGGTATTTTGCGCGAGGTTGCGCAATCAGGCGGTGAAGGAGCGTATTAGACACTAGGCCCGAAGGCAGTCTATGGTTCGCGCAGATCGTGAAATAGCAGAAGGGTTCTAGAGGTCGTGACGTGTCGATGGTCCGAAGGGCTCGGGGGACGAGGACCCCTAGAGGGGTAGGGAGGACCGATCATCGGGAGACCCAAGAACCAAAGTCGAAAAAACAAACAACGCGTAAAAAAAACATCATCGTGGCGACATTACTATTTGTGGACGGATTCGGAGCTGATGAGGGTACTAGACCCTAGGGAGTGGACGTCTGGTGTGCTCGCGAGTAGTGGCCGTGTTACCGAAGAAGAAGGTGGTGCGGATGCGACACAACTCTTGCTCTTGCCGTACCGTATGTAAGGCGGTGGGCGATCTGAGGTAGGGGATGGCGAGGAAGCAACTATGGAGCGTTAACAGACCAGGCCTTCAAGACATCTTAAGGGCTTGGAGGTATGCGGTCACCTCCACTCCCATGTCCGCCAGAGTCTGTGCTGTCGCCTTCGATGGTCTTCCTCCAGTGCTGTGGCAAGCACACACAGACTAGAGGGAAAGCCTTGATCTCGTTGTCAGATTCAACGGGTGACCGTCGGCCTCCGTTGCTCACACCCGAGTCACGTTGCTCGGCCTTTCGTGCCTCCCACTGCTCTGCCGTCTCGGAAAGTCTTACACCTGTCGCCCAACCATCATCCCATATACCGACAACCTTGAGCATATCTCCTCTTTCAAGCTCGAACTCGTCGCCGGCACGAGGTTGGTAGGCCCAGAGAGTGGCGACAGTATCGTTCGGATGAATATCGTCCTGAGAGTAGTAGTCCTTGAAAAATTGCAACTGCTCAGACTGGCCGGAAGCGACACCATCTGGACTCGAGAAGTTACGCGTCTGATCAGATCCAGAGAGTGGCGACGAGCTTGCTCCTAGAGCGGAGTGGCTCGACAAAGAACCTTGTCGTTTAGGGAGGTTACCAGCAAGATGGCCACGGATGGATTCGGGTGAATCATAGGGACCGAGTTGAGAGCCACCGTATGCAGTCATACGACCGCCTCGATCACTGAGGCCTGAGGATGACGACCCTTCCAAGGCCGACATACGTTGAACACGGGCGCCTGGGAGGATAGTAGCGGGCGTTTGACCGTCGCCCCCGTAACTCATGGGTGGAACAATGCCCGCCTTGGGTGATTGGTGTCGCGAAGGGGATGGCGTGTTGAAGACGCTACCAGCCTGGCTATTCTTTTGGTGGCGCCTTCGCATGCAGCAGAAGACAATAGCTGCAATGATTAGGGCGGCGCCGATGAGTGATCCTATAACGATGCCAGCAATGGCACCTCCAGAAATACCAGAACCGGAATCGCGTCCCCCAGATCCTGCGCCTGCTGTGGAGCTTGGAGATCCAGAAGAAGTGCTCGAGGGGAATACTGGAGGCATCGAAACAGTTGTGGGCAGATCGACACCTACGCAGCGCGACTCAACGTTCGCATTGACGCAGCAAGAATCTGTGGAGTTGACGGTACTTGAGCCACAGAAGAGGCACAATCCTTGGAGGTTACCTTGATATCCACATTCGTCGGGCTCGTTTTTGGTTGCATCGATGCAGTTACTGCTGAGCGAGCTGGCAGGGTTGGAGCAGCGAGCGAAGTCGGAACGAATTTCCGGAACTGCATTGTTACCAGGTGTACCGCACAGGTCCGGGCTTGATACGATCACTTGTTCGCTGATAGCAAAATCGGCCTGCGTCTGTCAGCCTTACGATACGGTGTAATTTCGGGAAGATAGTTACGTACGCAAGCACCTGCGCAGAGCGGAGTTGCGTCCGTGTCGCTGAGTCCGCATGCAGTCCTAGAAGATTGGATGATGAGGTTACAGAGGACTGTTCTTGTGTAACGAGCATAGAGATTGGTGGTGCTAGTGAGGTTGACGCTTGAGCATCCCAATATGTCTTCGTACCTGAAATGTGTTAGTCTACTGGTGGCATTGAGCAGTCGTGTGGCACGACTAGGACTAGACTAACTGCCGCTGCGCGTATCCGGTGCCAATGTAGTTGACCAAACCTTCGTCGAACGACTGGGTGTCAGACACGTATTGGAGGAAAGGACTGTTTGCGACCAAGGTTAGTCACCACTCGATATATCCAGTCACGTTGGACGTACAAGTTGCCGGTCAAATTTGTATCGACGGATGCAGAACTGAAGGCCGGACAGGCTGTCGAGCCCCGGAGCGATACGCAACTTTGCTGGGCCATGGTTTGTGGTACAGAGGCAGCAGCAGCAACAACTGCAAAGACGAGAGCCCTTTTTGTGCCAGAACGTGATTGCTTTTGGGAACAGGAGGTGGTAGCGCGAGCATTGTCGCAGCACAGGCACGGGCGCATGCTGATGATATTGGTACGCGTAGAAGCTGTATGACTTGTCGATAATTCCAGTCCTAGGATGTGGCCGTGGTGGAGTAAAGTTGTCGACGATGACGGGCCAGTAGGAGACGCGCAGCTTCAAAAGTCCATTCGCGACATGTAGATAGGGCGTCGGGCGGTGTATATCTATGTAGTTGTCGTCGACGCAAGAGTATTAGAAAATAGAGACCGTATCGATTGCGTGCCGGTCTAAGAAAGGAAGGAGAGAGCCTGGCTCGCAGCGGCAGAAAGAGCGTACTGGGTAGGGAAGCTGCGATGGGTCTCTACAGTGGAGAGAGGAAGGCACGCGCTTGAGCCTTGGGGGATGGTCAACACGCACGAACAGCGAAGCTACCGTGTCGGCTAGCTCCTTCCTTGGGCGCCAGGGTCAGCTCTGCCTAGGCGTTGATTGGCCCGACCCTGCCGGCGGGAAATGAGCGCGAAGTCTGTACCTGGCCTAAAATTATCTCTCCGATGCTTTTCGTCTCAGGTTCCTGGCTGCGGATTACGACTCCAGCTGGTCGAGTGATGAGGGTTAACACTGTCATGCTATACACCATCCTCATCACCGACCCACTGCATATCCACTGCATACCCACTGTGTGCAACGTGTCGACGGGAGCTCGCAGCTCTCCACCTGGGCCTTTTGCTGGCTTGCAGCACTGCGTATGCGGTATAGCGTCTGACTGCATGCGCTAGCCCTCCTCATGTACTAGTCCGCTGTTTCAATATACAACTACTGCCTTCACCGCGCAACCGGTCCGCTTCGGCTGGCCTTGCTATGTTGCAGCGCATAACGTCGAGCTTGTGCCTGAGACCGTCCCACCTCAGTACTACCATCGCTTCGTCCATGCGACGTGGTTATGCGCGTTTCGAACCGCGCATGGAGCTTGCAGATCCTCCAGCCTCGTCCTTAGCGTCTTCCGTGCTTCTGTTTACTGCACTTCTTCTGCGCAACGCCCGTTGACCCTCGGCCCTTTCCCTCTCCAGACTAGCTAGCGGCCCGCTCCCCTCCCTGAACCATTGTTTGTGAGCAACGAGCCTGCGACGATCTCTGCCCCGATCTGCATCCACATCCTGTTCAATCCTTAGTACCCAGCCCACCATGTGGAGAAGCACGTTGCATCTCGTGGATTTCATCAGCACCAACATTGAGGGTTGACTTTGACTCTGAACATGCCATTCCTGGAGTCGTACAATAGGCCGTAAGCATTTCCAAACTACACCCATTCCTCTCCCTTGGCCTTCGACTGAGACTCTGTCTTCGTTATTTACAACATTTCATTCCTCAAAGACCTATGTGGGTATACACTTCTAGAGTCCAGGCCTTCACCCATCTCTCCATCACCCAATCCGTCATCATGTCATTCTACATGGTTTCCTTGTTCTCAATCGCGATTTGTAATACTCTGCGGCGTCATGGTATCCAGAACTCTCAGGCTCGGGGCATCTGACGTTGCCTGTTTGAACTACAGGCCTTGCTGGGATGTGGTCAATGCGATTCAGGCAAACTCAACTGCCGGAGCTCAGTCTATACAAAACCGTTCTACTCGATCGCCTACGCGTCGCCAACCCTACGTAGTCAGGTACTACATCAACGTCTACCTGGGCATGACCTACCCATACTGTAAGAGTGAAACGCCATGAACTTCTATCGTGATACGCCAAACCATGCGAGCTACTACGTCACCTAGAAATAACCTTGGCATCGTGGAAATCTTTGCAGAGGGCGCCTCTAGCAAGCTTTTCGCTATTGAATGCACCAAGTGCCTCGTTGTCTTCCGCGTTAGCCTGCCGGTCGCACCAGCCGTTAGGATCAACAGTGAAGTCGCCACTTAGGCATTCGTTCGGGACAAAACTGAAGTCCTAGTACCGCGAATCGTCGCACACGATGCAGATCCCTCGAATGAGCTGGGTTTTGAGTGGACTCTGATAGAATGGGCGGATGCACACCATTACACGAAACCTGGCATGGATTGTCATGATGGAGGAGGGCTTACTAATTCAGGAAGATGTAGGATACATTTTACAATCCTTCAATATCGAGCTTTCAGACATTGCAGTCTGACGCTCGTCAACAAGTCTCACCCCTGTGCTGATTCATACTCCATATATACTGTGGGCGAGATCGTTCAACTCGCGTTCTTCAAAAAAGACGACATTTTCTTAGTCATGAGTACCTCTCTGCTCGTCACCAAATCCTCAAGCACTTCGTACACAATTTCGATCAGGAGGATGATGACGACACAGAGCATCACTGCGATATTCAAGCCGTATACTCCAGCCTAGAAACTGTAACTCTGTGGCTCTTTTCAGACGACATCATTTCAGCAGAACACACGACCCTTTGTAACTGCGACATGAGCATCTCAAACATACTAGTCATTACTAGAGGTAGTCTAGTCTCAATAGCAGACTAGGAACGCGTAACCACGCTTCCTACCTACACCGCTATCAAGCTACCCCAGTTTCTCGGAGAATTTGTCCGCGCCGCTCCTCCTAGAAATACCACGAACACCACCTCGGAAGTATACAAAACAGAACTGAAATACTACTACGCGACGTGCCTAAGGAAATACCTCTTAGATGAGATAACTCGGGTTTGTTCTACTTAATCTAGCGTCTTTGAGACAGAAAGCATTAGGCCCGACGTACTAATCTAGCTGGATAAATGTGAGAATGATATGACAGCCAAGTGGGTGAGGGTGTGGCTAGATGCCGCTGATGGGGGAGAGAGCCGACGTTTGCTTTGACAGATGCGTGTTGGAAACCGCTGGTGTTACATAGGTGGTTGTATAAGGACACTGTAAGCCTAAATTGGGAATGGATGAGTATAGTAGCTGAGATTTTCCGGTTTCTCGGATATCTCAGAGTGTTTTTTTGAAATCTATTGCAGTGTAAGCTCTAGCCTATGCCTTATAGTACCATGTCCAAAACACGATTGGGTATCATTCAACGCCATGTCCTCATCTCCACACCCCTCATTCTTTGCCGCGTCTTCCTTGCTGACATATGACACGCCTCGTCAATCCAGCAGCCACGCAAAGACATGTCCTAGAAGAATTTGACACCCTCTCCCTCACCTCCAGACCCAAAAACCTGCGCCTTCCCCCTCTTCACGCAAACCCCCAAACTCTTTTGCAACAGGTCCATATCCATTCCATAAAACTCTTCCCTACGGCTCACGTCCCCTTCGACAATCTCGTACAACGTGAGTACCGTGCCCTTTTGTCCCGTCCTCTCCACCCATTCCTCCAACGCCGCAGCCCACTCCTCAGGTCTCCGCCAATATATCCACGCCTTGCCTCCTTCACCCTCTTCTCCCGGCTTTATTCCCTTCTTAGACGAGCTTGTACTTATGAATTCAGCGCGGTTTCCGCCTTCGGGTGAGGCCATGTATGTGAGGATGGCTTTTGCATCGCGGAGGGAGAGGCTCCTGCGAAGGGTCGCGTTTGTGAAGAGAGGGGTTGGGAGCGCATCGATGAGGGAGATGGTAAAGATGCGGTTGTGGCGGCAGTAGGACTGGATGAGGATGGACCAGGAAGCCAGTTGTGAGGAGCGTGTGCTGGCAACGGGCTGGAGGGTGAAGAAGGGCGGGAAGGAGTATTGAGGTGGGAACACAAAGCTCGGGTTCGTGAGGGTGGTTGCTGTGGAGGGTGTTGGTGTGGGCGTTGAGGCAGGATAGGTGGATGTTGCAGCCATGTTTAAATATGGTGGTAATGTTAAATTTGCATAGGATGCGAGAATGTAGGCTTGTGTTGCGTTGCGCGTGTGGAACATTGATAGTTGGGAACGCGTTGATGGAGGTCTGCGGGGACTTTGCGACGTCATTGGTTGCTTGGCTTGGGCACCAAGGCCTTGTGTCTTCAACTCACTACGACAAGTCTTAATGCACTGCTACATAGGATATGCCCTTCCAAACACCTCATCTTGGACAAGTCATCTAGGAAAATCATGTGGAACTTTGTGCCCTTGCACAATTTGATCGTAGGTCAAGAATGGTGATATCTCCATCGAAGTCGAGCAATGATTTGATCACACTTTATGGAAAGGAACCAGTGTAGCGGAGTGTGGTGACAGCGGAGTGCATGTTGACGACGATGGTGGGGATGCCGTTCTTCTTGAGTTTCAATGGACAGAGTTGACGGGGTATGCTTACGATTAGACAAATACAAAGTCAAAGATCATTCGTAATATCTCGCGTGGGAGATGTGAGACGTAGCCATCGGTCGATAGACCGCGACTGTCCTTGTCCGTGTGATTCCGCGTGTTTTTATGCGTACTAAATAGTACCATTGGTAGCGCAGTATGGCACAGTTTTGGGATCAAGTAAGGAATACTATCATGGATACCATTATTCGTGAAGCTCAAACATATACAACTTGTTGTCCCAAACAGTCCAACGGTGAGTGCGAGGCCAACAGATGCCAGAGCCAGTCCTATACTTTTCAACATACCCATGCGCCATAACCATATATGTAGAAAGGAGTCGAAATATTGACCAATATCCGAATCCAGTCTCTTTGTAGATACATGCTCTGCAGTCCATTCTACACCATCTTTACCGCCACCCCCTTCTCTTCTGCTGCTGTTGCGCACTCGCTTTCATCCTGATTTGATCCTCCTTCTGCTGTTGGAATCCCTTGACCTCTTGACTGTACATCTCATACTGTCCCAGCCAGTACTCGACCAAGCCTTGCACATCTTCCACAAAGCCCTCAGGCCCCCTGTTGTATACCCAGAAGCCCACAACGAGAATCCCGCCCCAGAAAACCAGACGCAAAGCCAGGTTTACCCAGAAGATGACGGCTCGGTACATCATGTCCAGGATCTTGAGCGAGATGAAGAATATGGCGAGCAGGGCGAGGATGGAGGCGACATCGGGCTGTGTGATGAGTTTGTTGAGGAGAGGCGAGAGGTGCGTGGTCAGGGTGCGCGAGATGCCGAAGAAGGTTGTGAGGAGTTGGAGGAGGGGGCTTGCAAAGGAGGGTGGGAGGAAGCGCGGGATAAGCGCTGCGTAATCTGGCAGTACATGTTAGCATAGTGCATTGCGACGCAAGAAGATGACAATAAGCATATCGTCGAGGCTTACCCTGTATAAAGTCCATTCTGGGCAGTTTGCGATTGGACGTGCAGGTGTCGTGTGCAAGACGCGATGGACGCGTTGTGGGGTGCAAAAGGCGAGTTCGCGCTTGCGACGGATCTGCGCGCGGGTAGCGGATGACTGGAGCGACGCGTGGTAGATGGGAAAGACGAGCACGCGATGGGCTTGTTGTCGTGTGGCTAATATTTTGCCTGTTTGCACACGGTTGCGGTGACAGCTGTCCACGTTGACCCACTAAAACGCTTTCACACAAGCCATGCAGCTCAACACACCTAATCCTGGCTGCACGTCATCCGCTCGGCTCGCTAGCTTAGTCACCCACCTCCTCCCACCAGAATCCACTCATGATGCGCAAAAGTAACATACACCGACGATCATACTCCACCACCCTGCGTCTTGCATTTCAGCCCCATCTGCACCACCACTGCGCGACATGTCGCGGGGTACACCCGGTCTGATGATGCGGTGAACTTCTTGTGCGCGGGAAGCGCGATCGTGTATGAATCGCGTCCCGTCGCTTTTCGATAGCTTATGTGGAGTCGAGTGGAGATCGCGGCAGAGCAGAGTTTCAGATCTAAGTATTGCAAATTCTGGGGTCTTGGAACTGGCGGTGTAGACCACGTTTTTTGGTCTTCCATGCACCACTCGTGCCGTCGGTGGAAACGGTCGTTGCCGAGATGCCGCTTGGACTGATGTCGTGATCCGTGGTGCCTTGCAGGCAGATTGCGCAATGAAGGAACATCACTGCAGTATTGGTAAAGTGTCAGGTGGTAATGTGTTCATTCTTTCTTCTGGGCAGAAAGGACTAGCCTCTCGCAGTGCTACAACTGCATACCCAGGTACATGTTTAGCTATCTACTAGATCCCTTCCTGTGCCATCTTCGGCATCGACTTGCTGCATCCTCCAACAGAAAGAAACAAAGAGGCTCAAGGCCTGTGTAGTGACACAAAGGTCTGGTATCATATATGCAATGCGCCGCCAAACGCCAAAACCCAAAAGACAGAATCATGTCCAATCGTAAAGTATGTATGCGAAGCGAAGGTCGTAAAAGCGAAGTGTTGACTGGTACCGCAACAGTCTCGATGGGTGTACAACAGAAAGCGGTGCGTCGTGACACAGACAGATGTCAGCCATGTATCACTCACTTTGAGTGCATTAGGCAGGCTGCCGGCGGTATATATGACCACTTCGAGTGGACATGTTTGGAGGTTGAATATGACTTGATGAGTTGAGTCATATCGAGTGACACTGGCATTTAAATCCAGCGTCCATCACCTTTCTGTTGAGTGCCGTACTCTGATTCGAAGTTGAATCGGAAAGCAGATGTTTCATCGACGGATGGATAATGTATTAAAGGTTGAGACCGATGTGAAGATGTGGAGCCCCGGTTGAACTCGCCGCTTGGTGAACATGGTGAGTAAGGCGTTGGAGGTCGGTCTGCGATAGAAGAGGCTACACTAGACTTCCTTCGTGCACGCTCAGGCTTTCGTATTGAACTGGTGGGTGACTTTAGTGAAGCCATGTCGGTTAATGACGGTGTTCGTGGAGGGAACTCGTATGTGCTGAGCTCCTTCTCGAACATGGTAGTGACTCTGGGAGATACATGTTCCCGTAAGACAGCTGGTCTGATGCCGTACTTCTCCGGTCGTTGGGTATATTGGCTGGGTCGTCTCCAGGATTCAAACTCGGCATCGTCCAGTGGTGTGACTGCTCGCAAGGAGAAGCCTCGCATCCTTCTTTGAGATCTCTTCCAACAGAAGAGAACGGCAACGGCAACGGCCGTCAGAACGAGAGTGCCTGCCACGGCCCCGAGAATGATCCAGACTTTTGTTTCTTGCTCCATGATTGCGATGGTGGTGTGTATGTCAAGTGTAAATGCTGAACGGGAGTGTTGGTGATAAGTGCTCAAAGACTGCTGCGATCGTCGTTGTCGCTATTTTGAGCAGACCCTGATGGTGTATTGGAAGGAAGATCCAAAAGGAATATACGAGAGAGTGACGTTAATCAGATAACAACCATGCTGGCTGTGGCTGCGGTTGATGCGGCTACTCCAGAAAGGTGGCGGTCGACGAAACGATGGTAGTAATCTTGAGCCCACTCCTGTCTGATATGAACCTTGGAGGGTGATGCGGATAAAGTAGTGCGGGAAGCAAAGAGCGGAGACCTGGGTCATGCGTCTACCCTCGCTCCACAGCACCGTAGTAGGGAATGATGGTATGCACCTAGCGCCACAAAACGAGGCAGCACAAAGAACGGTCCTTCGGTAGAGAGCAACGATGGCGCACCGAGTGAGAGGAGTGTTGCGGGTTATAGAGACCGGACAAGCTTGGCTTGAGGCGACATGCAGGTACAATAGCGTACCTGATGGTGGGTTGCGAAGTTTGTTAGTACGGCAGACTCATGGAAATATCGGTGAGCAGTGCACTAAGAGTAATCCATGATGGGCTAATTTCGACGACCTTGGAACGACACCCCGCCGTTGGCGATGGCGCAAGTACCGGGATAGGCAATTCCACCGTGCCTGCAGCAGGGGCCTGACACTCCCGTCCAGTATATGCCATTCCAGAGCCGTGAAGCGGGCAACGTGGCGTCGTTAAGGTCAGCACGATGTTGGTGTTTGACAGCACACCATGATCTCACAACGAATCCAGGGGCAGAAGTCACTTCAGCCTCAGCAACTTGACACCGAGGGCTTGATAGCGAATGCAACAGCGCACCCGTTCGTGCGTGCCCCTCAGCTCTACCCCGGAAGGGAGTCTTTTCTTTTTCGAAATTCTCCTTGCATCGCTAGAGGGCGGAGTACGAGTGAGACAAGCAAACGCTCAGTTTGCCTGAAGGGGCGTGTGTCGGTCGGAAACTTCGCTTGGAGCAAGCAGGGGCACTGACACGACGTCGATCTATCAAACCCCACCAACCGCAATTAGCATCGCTCCCTTCCAGGCACTGGCCAATCCCGTGTCGGGCTTTAGGTGCGTCCCGCGATAGCTTCCTTTCAAGGTTCTTTATCTTAGCCCTCGACGGAGAGCATCCAGATTCTGATGGTGTGCGTTCCCAAGCCCATAGCAGCTGTAGCTCGTCACCACCTCGACTCGCTCCTGCACGAAACAAGTTTCGATGCCGACATCTGGAGCGTTCGCGATACTGAAAACTACTGGTCGACACAACCAACTGGGTTATAGGCTAGAAGCCGAGCGTTCCTGACTATCGCACAACCCTGGCACCGACGGCCTTTGTGCAGCAAAACCGGGCATTATAGCGCAAACGCACCGACATGTTCCTTGGCAAGAACGGTTGCTTGGTCGCCAGCGTGCCAGGTCATTCACTATTAATCATCTCGATGCTTCATCGCGGGGCCATTTCGATGACCGCCAATAGCGCTTGAGGGCCTTCACCGGACCTTCTTGAAACACATCAAATCTGGTTGAATCTGGTCGAACAACGAGTTCAACGCCCCCATGCACATTCGTTACAATGACATGAGAGCCGTCGATTGAGGCTTGCAGTTTGCTCCGCTATTATAATGTGACTAGTCGTAGTGGACTGGTAGTGCCATGATGGTGCATCATCTGGACTCATCAGAGCGATCAAAGCCTATACAACTAGCGGCATACGTCGAAAACTCTCCGAATCATATTTTGCGTTTGAGGGTCGTCACTGTAGCCGTCCCCGATGCTCGCAGAACCATTCCAAGTGCGACAGCTAGAAGGATCGTACCGTCAAGGGACCTGTCTGACGACAACATTTCGAATTCTGCAGAATCCAAGTACTGTGTCTCAATTTTCTTATGCTAGACTTCTTACAAAGACTTCCCACGCCGAAGAAAGGCTCGGCTCCTGAACCCGTGGTCGTCATGATCTTCGCGCCCATCCTGCAACCGAAATGAGACTTTCATTACAAGCCACGACCAAAGAGGCATCATCCGCAACCCATATGTATCTCGTCGCTTAACCCGCTACCTATCTTTATAGCAAACTCAAGGGTCATCCTTCTTTGTTGAAGCCTGCGGCAAGATCACACGCAAGGTTGTATGCCCAGAACTCTTCAATGTCACTTGGGCCAAGGGTACCCAGGGCCCGAGTTTGTGAGCGCGCGGCTTTGCCGCCATGCCGTGCAAGACGGTAGGTACCTGCAGCTGGAACATAGCGCCTGGCGCTGTCGTTCTGCCGGCTAAACTGCGCAACTTGCACGTGGGCTATCACTATCAGTCAAGCGTGCGACGCCAGGGCCACGAACCGACGGTGGTGTAGTGGCCCAGAGGAAGCACACATAGCGGCGGACACTTTGTTCGGCTGCCTGTGCGAGGAATTGGACCATGTCTTTGGAACTACTTGTGATGGCTGCGTAAGATGCGCGATGTGTCGCAGATGTCGTATTGCTTTTTCGATATCTCCTGATCTACAGCGGGGAGAGAATGCTTGTGTCTGTCTTGCTGTCATTGGTGCGACCAAAGCAGAAGGTGTCAAGACTGCAGCTTGCATCTAACATTTCCTGCTGCCACCAATGAGGGTTTAGATATGGCATATCCACAGCAAAGCTCAGCCGCAACCTCAACACCACCATCGTGAACTCCTGAATATGGTAAGAAAGCGACGGCGCATTCCCTACGCTGTCCTTGATTTTGGCACCGAAGTGCACCCGTCATGACCTGGAAGAAGCGAGTCATTGAGATGAAGATGCACGCAAAACCTCTCGAACGAGAAGAACGCCCGACACCACATCAGCCTCATCACACACCGCACAGCCTCTCCACTCAAGCAAGATGATCAGAATAAAATCTCTCCTTGAAGGTGCCTCGGAACCGGTGGCATCCGAATGATTATGTCGCCTCAGCAAGGTCTTCGCAGGCTACGTGGGCTCATACCTGTCTTCCAATGATCATATAGGGTTGCGTGGGGCATCGGGTGGGTATTGATCCCGACACTCTATAACAGACACACTATTGCTCATGGTATTTCACGGCGAATGTGCTTAACGACGAAAAATTTCCTATGCCCATGCAACAAAAGTCATGGACCGGAGTTTCGGCAATAAAGGACTTAGCAACGGATGATGTCGGAAGCTACATTTGCGCATCATGGTCAGCTGGACTGACCATGTGTCGTTCGCATGTCATGAACGGTGACGCTTGCGCAGGTATTCCTTCAATCGGCTTGACGCTACCGTTCACTGCAAGCCGACATTCGAAATCAAACATGAGTCGCTGTAATGCTTGTCAGAGCGATAGGCGTCTTGGGGTCAGGTAACGGCC